TCCTTTCATGAGGTTCTGAATAGATGCTTCTAAACTAACCACAAAGGTTTTTGCCTTCCCCCAGACCTTTCACACATAGCCCATCTCTGCATGAGGTGTTGGTCAGTCGGGGGACTTTTATTTATCTTCTCTCAATAAACCAAGTTTCCACCGCTTGCGTGAAACCACGTACTCCTTCCTGGTGATGACACTCTTTCTGTGTGGCAAGCTCTCTAGGTATCTTGGCGTATGCCCTGAGCCCTCAGTGCTGTCCCACTGGTCTTCTTGCCTATCTCTGCATGATCCAACATTGGATTTCCACCATTGTTTTGTTGTTTCTGCAGGCCAACGCCTGATGAGTTTGCCCACTGACACAGCTGTCTGGGGCCAGAAGGGATAGCACAGTGAGTGGGTGTTTGCCTTGCATGCGGGTTACCCAGGTTCGATTCCCCACGTTCTCCATGCCTGCCCCCCCCCCCCCCAGCACCACCAGGACTGATCCTTACCACAGAGCCAGGAGGAACTCCTGAGCACGCCAGGTGGGCCCAAAACAAACAAACAAAAATCTCCAAGATCCATAGCAATTTGGGGACTCTAAGCTTTCCTATACATTTTAGAATTATTTTCTAAAAATCAAAATTTTCGTAAGTGTATTTCCTTTTTTTTTTTAATTTTAAAATTAAAAAAAATTTAATTAAAAAAAATTTCATTGAATTTCCGGGAGATAGCTCATTACAAAACTGTTCATGATTGGGTTTGAGTCTTACAGTGTTCCAACACCCATCCCTCCCCTAGTGTACATTTCTCAGCATCAGTGTCCCTAGTGTCCCTCCCATCACCCCCAATTCCTCCCCCCAGAGTCTGCCTCTATGGCAGTCACTTCTCCCTCTCTCTCTCTCTGTTTCTCTGTCTCTCTCCTCTTCCCTTTCCCTCTATCTCTCTGTCTCTCTGTCTCTGTCTCTCTCTTCTCTCTCTGTGTGTCTCTGTCACTCTCTCCTTCCCGCTCCCTCTCTCTCCTGTCTCCCTCTCTGTCTTTCTGTCTCTCTCTCCTTCCTTCTCCCTGTCTCTCTGAATTCCTCTCTCTCTCTGTCTCTCTCTCACTCCCCTTCTTTCTGTTTCTCTTTCCTCCCCCCTCCGTGTCCATCTCTGTCTCTGTCTCTGTCTCTCTCTTTCTCCTCCCTACTCCTTCCCTCTCCCTCCCTCTCCCTCAAACTACTTTTTCGTCTGAATGTACCGTCCGGGGGGCTGCGGGTGGTGGTGCACCTGTTCTGCAGCAGAGACCCACCCTGCACGCGTGGAGCCGTGGGCTTACCCCTCGCCCCAACCTGCCCTCCTGCGCTGTCAGGTGTGATCCTTCCCCCAGACTCCAGGCTTGACCCCCAGTGCCGCGAGAATCGCAACCTCCGGCACACCCCAACCAAGTAAGGACGCAACGCCGGACTTTGCAAGAACACCACAAGGGAAGGGGAAAACGAGTGCAATGAAAAGACTGCAACCCTGTGGCCTTGGCAAGGCCTGTTGGCTGGAGCCACGAACGAATGCCTTCAGAACTGCGACCTTCTCGCGAGACATTCTCGGTCTGGCTGTACCCCGTCTTCCTCATTTCTGGGTATTTGCTGTGTCGTAATGAGAAACCCCGAGGAATAGAGCAACGAAGAGAACCAGGAAGGGGCTGGCGGTGCAGGGACAGAGGGTGACCGGGAAAGCCCTGACTCCGCCTGTTCCTGCGGGCCGGGGTTCAGGCCCTCTGTCCCGGTCAGTACCCCCTCCCCCACTCCCTCCCCAAGGGTGAAGCCCGCCACAGAGGGAGAACTTGGACTCCACAGGTCCCCTCAGTCACACTCCTCCCAACCGGCTTCTTTAAAAAATATTTTTGTTTTAATTATCATTAGCACAGTGGGTAGGGCGTTTGCCTTGCACGCGGCCGACCCAGGTTCAATTCCCCGCCAAGCTACCGAGAGTATCCCACCCGCACGGCAGAGCCTGGCAAGCTCCCCGTGGCGTATTCGATATGCCAAACACAGTAACAACAAGTCTCACAATGGAGACGTTACTGGTGCCCGCTCAAGCAAATCGATGAACAACGGGAGGACAGTGCTACAGGACGGTGCTAATTATTATTTCTTGGTTTGAGGGCCAAACAAACAGTGCTCAGGGCTTACTCCTGACTCACCCGGCAGGACCTGAGGATTGAACCCAGACTGGCCGCGTGAGAGGCAAGCCCCCCGACCGGCTGTCCCATACCGGCCCGTTCCACGCCCCGCATGGCCTCTGAGCAGCTTGGTCTGGTCAGCCCCCCACAGCTCCTCTGGGCCCAGCCCCTGCTCAGCACAGCTGGGGAGGGAGCCCTGAGTCCCGCGAGGAGTCTCCCCATCTCCCCACCACCATCTGCTCCCTGAGGGCTGGAAAATACTCGCTCCACACCCCAATGCCAGCATCTGAGAAAGCCACGGTTCAGGGCTCCCCTTGGGATCCGGGGAACAGGACCAGGTGTGAATTTTATTTATTTATTTGTTTTGGGGGCCCACATCTGGCACTGCTCAGGGCTTCCTCCTGGCTCTGTGCTCTGGGATCACTCCTAATGGGCTTGGGGGACCCTGTGGGGTGCCGGGAAATGGAACTCGGGTTGGCCCCTTGCAAGGCCAGCAGGTGCCCTCCCTGCTCTCGGGGTGGGGGGTGCTCCAGCCCCTCTTCTCCTTTTCTTCCCTTAATTGTTTTTTGTTGTGGGGCACATGCTGGACAGTGCTCAGGGGCTACTCCGGGGATGATACTTAGTTTCTCCTGGCGGTTGAGGGGACCGTGTGGTGCTGAGGACAGAGCCCGGGACCCCTGGGCGGTCCCCCATACCCCACAACCCTACTAGCTTTGCATCCACTTTTTTCTTCTTTTTTGGGGGGGGGTCACACCCGGCGATGCTCAGGGATTTTACTCCTGGCTCTGCACTCAGGAATTACGCTTGGCGGTGCTCAGGGGACCATATGGGATACTGGGAATCGAACCCGGGTTGGCAGCGTGCAAGGCAAAAGCCCTCCCCGCTGTGCTATCGCTCCAGCCCCTTGCGTCCACTTTTCCGAGGAAGATGACGACTTCTCTCCCCGCCTCTATCTCCGCCATCTCGGCCTCTTGGGTTTCCTCTTGAGGAAACCAGCACCCAGTTGTGAAATAGAAGCTCGGCCCCCGGACTGGAGGGCCACACGCGAGGCTGGGAAGGGCCACTCGCTGGTGCCACACGCTGCCAGCCACCAGGCCTGGCGGTGCCCAACAGGTACGGGGATATCCTCCCCGTGCCGGCGGCAGCCTCCTCCGGCCCAGTCAGTCCCTCTGTCCTCAGCTCTGCAGAGCCCCTGACCGCCGTTCCTCCAGCCCAGCTGACACAGGTCACAGGGCAGCCCGCCAAGTGTGGGGGGGGGCGGGGGAACTGTGGGTTGCTTGAGCGTCCCCCCACCCTCACCTCACCGTGGAGTGAGCGTGTGAAAGGGATGTCCAAGGCAGACGAACTATCTGACTCAACTTGTAAAAAAACTCTTCCTGAGGCTCTCGCAGTCCCACATAGGAGAGATGGTCCTGCATCTACCTGCTCCCTGCCGGCCCTCGCTTGACACCAGAGCCTACAGCTCCATCCTTGTCGTGGCAAATCCCCGGATCTGGCTCTGTCTCAGAGCCGCAAAAGACACACAGCGAGGGAGCAACCAAGGTCCAAAAGCAGCATAATGAGAGAACTGAGTTGAGTCCGAGGGTGTTTGGAGAGGGAGGGGTACACGGTGATGGGTGTGGTGTTGAGATTACATGCATGAGAAGCATCAGAGTAAACCACAGAATCCCAATCAAAAAAAAATTTTCAGGGGGGTGGCTGGAGCAATAGCACAGCAGGTAGGGCGTGTGCCTTGCATGCAGCCAACCTAGGTTCGATTCCCAGCATCCCATAGGGTCCCCTGCTAACCGCCAGGAATAATTCCTGAGTGCATGAACCAGGAGTAACTCTTGTGCATCACCGGGTATGACCCAAAAAGCAAAAAAAAAAAAAAAAAAAAGAAAATTTTGTTTTTGGCTTTTGGGCCACACCCAGCAATGTTCAGGGGTTACTCCTGGCTCTGTGCTCAAGAATTACTCTGGTGGTGGTGCTCAGGGCACCGTTTGGGGTGCCGGAGATTGAACCCGGATCCGCTGTATGCAACGCAAACGTCCTCCCGGCTGTCCTATCACTCTAGTCCAATCAAAATATTAAAAAAAAAAATCCTACTCCCGCTCCCAGGGAGGCCTTCTCTGAGAATTATCTTGGGGAAGAGCCTTTTCACCCCTTTTCTTCTCCATGGGAACCAGGTGAGCTCGCTGAAGAGCCAGTGAACCGGCTGGGCTCAACTCACCTTCCCCTCACTTCCTTCCTCTCACAGAGCACACAGAGAGCCGCTGCCCCCCAGGCCAAAACTCCGAGCTCTGAAGAGGAATATGTTCATTTATTTCAGCCTCGTTTGTGTTTCTCCCGATAGGGGCATTCCCTGAGGTCTGGTGTCTCCAGACCCCTGCCTGGAGAACTGGTCTGAAGATTGGGGATTTTCTCTGAGTGAGGACAGACTGGGTGGCAGGACCAACTTCCGTCCTCAGCCCTAAGCAAGCCTCCAGCGCACACCACCCCCCATCCTGAGGGGACAGGGATGCCCATAAGTGGCCTGAAATGGGGGAGGGGAGGCATTGGCCAAGTCCTTCCTGGGACCGGAAGGTGGTGATGGCAGAGAGGGCCAGGAGAGATGAGAGCTGGGGTGAGGTCATGGCCTGGCAGGTAGCATCTCAGGGTGACGAGAGCCCTGCCATGTGGGCTGTGCGTTCAGACCCTCAGGGCCCTCCAGATGAAACCTTTGAGACCACGTGGTCCAACCTGGTCTTCACACACACACACACACACACACACACACACACACACACACACATCCTGCCCAGCCATGTTATACAAAGGCCCCCAAGGAGTCATGATGTCACTCAAGGGCACAGGGCCAGCCAGAGCTGAGTCAGAGTGCCTGGCACGGGGGGCCCGCAGCCCCCTACCCATGAGATGTGACGGGGGCTGGATCGACCCGTGCGGTGCCCGAGGAGGAGGCCGCAGCCCGCTGGCTGGGAAAGTAGAGCACCAGGAACCAGCAGAAGATGAAGACACCTATGGGGAGAGAGAGTCTTGGCAAATGGGGCGGGGGTGGGGCGGGAGTCTGGGGGCAACCCCAGGGGACCGGCTGGCCTGGGTGACTGTCACCCAGAAACAGTAGCTCCATTGTAGAAAAAGAAAAAAAAATACAAGTTTGAGAAGTGACAGGCAAAGGAAACTCAGTTCTGAAAATCAAAAAGAACCAAGCAGGCGTTTTCTTGCACGTGTCCGACCCAGGTTCGATTCCCAGTATCCCATATGGTGTTCAGCATCCCTGAACACCGCCAGGAGTAATTCCTAAGTGCAGAGCCAGGAGTAACCCCTGTGCATCGCTGGGTGTGACCAAAAAAGAAAAAAAAAAACAGAGTCCTTGAAATGCTCCGTGCACCTGCACATTTATGTCCCGGACAGAAAAGAAATTCCTGCCCATAGAACAGCCCCTCATGGGAGCAGGGTCTGACCCACCGCCCCTGCACCCCGATCGAGGGCATGGGCCTTAGCAAGAAGGCCAGGTGTCAGGTCCCAAAGGTATAAGATTTGCAAACAGCAATTATGACAACATAAACATGTGCTCCCACGGGACTCATAGCCAGTGCTCTAGGCCGTGTTTGACTCGGTCCCCGACCCTCCGCTCTCTCCCTCAGTGATGCCCCCACAGTGGGACAAGATAGCTGCCATCCCCCACCCCCACATCCAGCCCCAGGCCCCGCCCCCTCACCTTGCAGGGAGTTGAACACAGCGAAGATGTAGACGGTGGACAGGCCCAGGGGCGTGAGGATGGCCAGCCCCCACGTCATGCCCAGCAGGCTACAGAGGCCCAGCACAGTGAGGACTCCCTTCCAGCTCTGCCCCTGTTCCTTGCCTGCCGTGGCACTGGACAGGGTGAAGATCTTCCAGGCCACCAGCACCAGCACCACGGCGCTGCAGAGGAAGGTGACCAGGAAGTAGCCGTGGACGGTGACGTGGAGGGCAGAGACGGCTGTCTTCTCGCAGAACCAGCACCTGGAGGGGGTGGGGTGGCCGGCCCTGTGTTGGGGAGCAGCTGCCCCCGGCCACGAGCTAAGGGGGACAGACTCCCCAGCTGACCTTCCTTGGCAGAGAAGATGGTGTTCCCCCTCCCTGCACCAAGATCCCCTCAGACCAGGGGTCCCAAAAGGGTCCAGCGGGTCCCAGACCCATGCTTTTTTGTTTTGTTTTGTTTTTGCTTTTTGGGTCACACCTAGCAATGCTCAGGGGTTACTTCTGGCTCATGCAATCAGGAATTACTCCTGGCGGTGCTCGGAGGACCCTATGGGATGCTGGGAATCGAGCCCGGGTCGGCTGCGTGCAAGGCAAATGCCCTACCCGCTATCGCTCCAGGCCCCCAGAGCCATGTTTTATCTGTCCCTCATGTGTTTGTGAAAAATAGAAGTCAGGACTCTAAGTGAGAGCATCAAGAGGGTAAGAGCCTAAGAGCCTTGCCTAGAACACGCCAACCCAGTTAGCTTTTTTTTTGCTTTTTGGGTCACACTTGGAGATGCACAGGGGTTACTCCTGGCTCTGCACTCAGGAGTTACTCCTGGCGGTGCTCAGGGGACCATATGGGATGCTGGGAATTGAACCCGAGTCGGCCGTGTGCAAGGCAAACGCCCTACCTGCTGTGCTATCGCTCCAGCCACAACTCAGTTAATTTACTTGTTTCATTTCAGTTTGGGGTCACACCCAGCCGTGCTCAGGACTGACTTCTGTTGTCTTTGCACTCGGGGGAATCTGATGGCATGCTGGGGATCAAACCTCCCGCAGGGGGACAGGTGGGACCCCTGGGGAGGTGGCTTCCAGGTGCCTATGGCAGGTGGAGGCCTGGCCCAGTCAGACACCTGCCTCTACTCCTGTTCTCCCCACACGCGTCTCTGGGCCTCAGTTTACCCCGATCAGAGCAGCTGCCTCTGGGGGCTCCCCCTCACCGCCCCGCTCCCTCCCGGCCCCACTCACAGCTCCAGCGAGATGCGCAGGTCCTGGTCACGGATGGCGAAGGGCCCATAGCTGTCGGCACTTGCCGTGCCAATGACCACAAGGGCAGGCAGGCCTGGGCCCGGGAGGGAGGAGACCGGGTATCACTGGGGCACCCTGGGGGGCTGTTCCTCTCCCACCGCCCCTCCCACGCTGTCCCCCAGAAATCCCGCCCACGCCTACCCCAGCCCACGGCGCTGAGCTTCAGGAAGTAGTGGCTGACATAGGTGTTGAAGACCTTGATGACCAGCAGGTAGAGGTGCAGGGCCTCCAGGCCCATCCAGGTGAAGGTGCAGAGCAGGAAGTAGTGCAGGGTGGCGCCCCGGGCCCTGCAGGCCGCCCCTGTGCCCGCAGTGCCCAGCCCCAGGCTGATAAAAAAGGCCAGGTTCAGGAGAAACAAGCTCACGCTCAGGGCCACGTGGATCTTGGGGGTGTCTTCCGACTTGAACCTTTGCCGGGAGAACCTGGGTGGGGGGAGGGGATGGCGGCTCCCACCAGGCATCCAGCTCCCCCCCACTCTCTGCTGCACCCCAGAGCCCAGGCCCTGGGGTCTCTGTCGGCTCCCAGCCCTGCCTGCACTGGCGCCGCCCGCCGGAGCTCTCCCAACCAGGCCCACTGTCCATGGGGGCTGTTGGTCCAGTTGGGCTCATCCTGTAAGGAAACTGAATTCCCTGGGCGGGCGCTCTGTGCTTTCCTCTCCTCCAGCCTCTCTCTCCCTGCCCACCCCACTCCCCTCTGCTTTCCCTTTGGGGGTTAGGGACGGCCTCTGCCACACCTGCCCCTGGCGCCCCCCCACCCACACACACTCCCCAAGGCACGTGCAGCTGGCTTTCCTCCCGGCACCCCCACCTCTCACAACGGCAGCTTTGGCCCCGCACCCTAAGCCGGGAGGCCCCAGGGCATTGGTTAAGGGCACTGGAACGGGGTGTGTGGGACCTGGGGGCAGGGAGGGTGAGGTTCAGAGAGGCACAGGCAGTCCCACGGTGTCACAGAGCGAGCAGGAAATCAGGGGAGCGCCCGCCCTCCAAACCCTTAGACACGCAGCCCAGAGTCCGGAAGGTGGGAGTCATACCCCCCCTCCCCGTCACACCCCCGGGCGCTTGTGGCCACTCCTCCAGGGCTCCAGACCAGCTCGGCAAGTTGGCTGGTCCAACTCCGTTTGGTGGGAGTCAGGCCTGGGGGCTGGGGACAGCATGGCACTTCCTGTCCAGTGACAGCATGCTGGGCGGTCCTGCGGGCGGGGATCCAATGAGAGCAGACAGAGGTGGGGGAGGGCAGGACTCCCTAGGGGCTGCTCCTACACAAGGCCGGGTCCTGGGGGTCCCTCAGCCACCGTTCGGGCTGGAGCTCCCACTCCCATTCCTCCCCAGACTCAGCCCAGAGGAGCCCCCTTCTCTCAGCCGCCACACACAGGTGACTGGGCGCTCTGCCCCCTCAGATCCAAGAACAGCTACACTGCTTGGCAGGGCTGAGGGGAGCAAGAGCTCTGCCGGCACAGTGTCTGAGACCAGAACTGCCACCAGGGTCACACCACCTGGAGCTGTGTACATTCACACACGCATGCACACACGCACATGCACACACACGCACATGCACGCACACATGCATACACATATACACAAGCCCTCACGCACATATCCATATACACAAGTACACACTCATGTACACATACATGCGTATTCACACATGCACACATACACATGCACACACACGTACAGACGCACTCATGTACACAAACACGCATACTCCTACACACATGCATGCACACATGCATACACATATACACAAGCCCTCATGCACACATCCATATACACATGTACACACTCATGTACACATGCATGCATATTCACACATGCACACATACACATGCACACATACGTACAGACGCACTCATGTACACAAATACGCATACACCTAGACACACGCACGCACACATGCATACACATATACACAAGCCCTCACGCACACATCCATATACACAAGTACACACTCATGTACACATACATGCGTATTCACACATGCACACATACACATGCACACACACGTACAGACGCACTCATGTACACAAACACACATACACCTACACACACGCACATGCACGCACACAGGCATACACATATACACAAGCCCTCACTCACACATCATATACACAAGTACACACTCATGTACACACGCATGCGTATTCACACATGCACACATACACAGGCGCACACACATACAGATGCACTCATGTACATATACATCACACACATGCACACTCACCCATGTACACATACACACGCACACAAACATACGCACCACATGTGCACACACAGCACGCTTGCACACACACGCAACGCACCCGCACACGTTGTATGCGCATGTGAAATCAGTGTGAACTAGACAAGATGTGTCCTAAGGCAGGAGCACCTTGACCTAGTTCAACAGTCACCCACAAGTTGTCCCCTGGGGACAGCTGGGGGAGGGGCTGTGGGCTCTGCCGTGCCTGCAACTTCCTGTGAGTCTGTGACTATTTCCCAAACGCTCTGAGTACGTGTGTGATGTCTGCTCTCAGGCAGCTCGGACCAGGCAGTGAGGTGGGAGGGCCCAGGCCGGCCCCCGCCTGGCCTGCCTGCAGAGGAGACAGCCACACCGGGGGCAAGGGCCTGTCCTCTGTGTCCCCGGGTCCAGCCAGGCGGACACAGAGCTCACGGGGGGGGGGGGGGGGGGGGCTCTTCCGGGGTATAAACCTCACCGTCTCGTTGAAGTTTAGGCCAAGTTTGCTTTCTGCATCTGAGTCCCTTGCGATTCTACCCCTGACCAGCGACATCGCGTGAACGCATTTCACCTCCAACCCCATTTTTTTTTTTTTGCTTTTAGGATCACACCTGGCAACACACAGGGGTTACTCCTGGCTCTGCACTCAGGAATCACCCCTGGCGGTGCTCAGGGGACCATATGGGATGCTGGGAATCCAACCCGGGTGGGCCGCGTGCAAAGCAAACGCCCTACCTGCTGTGCTATCGTTTCAGCCCCCAACCCCATTTTGTAGGCGAGGAAAGTGAGGCTTGGAGAGACCCTGGGGGTCAGGATGTTGAGTTTGGAGGGCGGGCGGGGGCGCTGGGGGCTGGGGAGGAGGCACCCACCTCAGGGTGACATAGAGGATGACGGTGAAGGTCAGGAAGATCATGGAGGCGCCGCAGCCCGCCTGGGAGATGCGTGTGAGAGCCAGCGCGGTGGCCCTGTCCAGGACCGGCCTCTGCGAGGGAACCCCAAGCCCGTCAGCCGGACCCTGACCCCCGCCTCTTCCCTGGAGCCCTGCCCGGCCCCCCCACACCGCCTCACCAGGAGCAGGGTGAAGAAGGTCAGGTGGTCACAGCGGCACACGGTCCTCTCGGGCCCCCGATCCGTGGAGCAGCCACGGGAAGACCAGTCTCCTGTCGGCCCTGCGGGGGAGGGGGGCCAGGGAGGGCCGGGCTACTCCTCGGGGCGTCTACCCTTCCGCGGGCACCCCAGGCGGGCCTGGGCCCCTACCTTCACGCACATCCCAGAAGACACAGGTGGAGGTCATGTTCTGAAACCAAACAAGGGCAGGGAGAGGCGTGGGCCGGGTTAGACCTCTGGGCGCCCCTGGGGAGCCGGCCAGCGGTGTGTGGGGTCAGGGGCCCCAGGGATTATGGGCGAGGTGCAGGATCCGGGGTTCCCCCGACCCAGACAGGGACTCACAGGGGGCTGCTGCGGGTGGGCGAAGGTGATCTCCAGGGGCTCGGGCAGCCTGTGGATGGGCCCACGGCCCACGCTCAGCCCCACCAGGCGGTCATTGAGCGGCCGGCTGCCTTCCTCCGGGCTCTGCTGCGGGCCCTGCGGGCAGAGAGTGGACTGCACTGGGGTATTCATGGCCTCTGAGATCGTGACCCAGGGGCCCGGGTTCACAGCCCTCCTTCCTTCTGTGCACCCCTGGGGTGCAGCTAGGCCTGGGCAGACCCTATGCTCATTTCCATGGATCTGCTGGGTCTCCTCCACTCTTCCCCGTCACGAGAGGGGCACAGGGCTAGACCAGCACAGCCAGAATGGAGGGTCAGGGGGCATCAGATGGGCACACGTACCTGCGTGCACGGGCCACAGGCCTCAGGGGCCACGTACCTGGCTCACGCGCTCCCGGGTACCACACCAGAGCTGTGAGGACCGGGCACAGACATGGCCACTGGGTGGACATGTCCGAGTGGGGGCGAGGGGGATGGAGCCATAGTACAGTGGGCAGTGACCTTGCACGTGACCGACCTGGGTTCAGTCCCCGGCATCCCCTATGCCCCCCCGAGCACCGCCAGGGGTGATTCCTGAGTGCAGAGCCAGGAGGAATCCCTGAGCATCGCCAGGTGTGGCCCCAAACCAAGAGAGTGGGGGTACGAGGCTCCTCCACAGATGGGGTTCTGTGACCACGCAGCTGCCCCCAAAGCCCCCTCTCAGCCCCCCCCCACCCCCTCCAGCCCCAGCTGAGACTCCAGAGAAGACAGGCTGTGCAGGGAGCCCAGAACTGACCCCGAGGAGCCTCTGGGGTGGCCAGGTCAGGTGGTGGCCATGGCACCCCGGGCCCGCGCCCCACCTTCACTCACCTTGAAAACCGTCCCGGTGCCGATGTCCAGGATGGTGACGGCCAGACGGACCTCCTCCCCTCGGCCCTGCAGGGACCTGAAAAGGCTCTGCGGCAGCCGGACCCTGTTTGGGGGCTTTTGCTCCTGCGTCACCTGCCTCGGAACCTGCAGCCACAGAATCAGCCACACCCGTCTCTCCCCCACATGCCCAGGAGGGAAACTGAGGCCCCCGGGATGGGGGAAGAGCAGCCCCCGAGGACACTGACTGCACAAGTCAGGATACTGGGGGGGGGGCGTCACACCAGGCTGCTGAGGGAGCCCTGTTTTCCCAGGATGCAGAGTGGAGCTCGTGGGGTGCTGTGGGGCATGTCACAGAGCTGGCTGCCTGGCCAGGACCCTGGCCTGTCCGGCTTACATGTGGGGAGGGGGTCAGTCAGGGGGCGGCGTTGGCCCTGGGCTCTGGCAGCCACTGATCCTGCTGACGTGAGGCTTCCTGGGGCAGCTGGCCAGCCTCGGGTGGACTCGGGGATCAGAGCTAAAGCCAGGAGGGCAGGGGCAGGGCTGGGTGGACCCCAGGAGAGCTGTTCAGTCCGCACACACTCATTAAAAGACGCTGCCCTTGCAAGTGGCTGACCCTGGTTTTATCCGTGACCAGGAGAGTCTGTGAGCAGGCCTGGGCATGGCCCCCTCAGCAATGAAGATTAGTGTAGGACTATTTTCATCATTGGTAAATAAAGTCACCTTCCTGGGGCTGCAGTGATAGCACAGCGGGGAGGGTGTTTGCCTTGCATGTGGCCAACCCAAGTTCGAGTCCCAGCATCCCATAGGGTCCCCCGAGCACTGCCAGGAGTAACTCCTGAGTGCAGAGCTAGGAGTAACCCCTATACATTGCCATGTATGACCCAAAAAGCCCGAAAAGAAAAAAAAAAGAAAAAAGTCACCTTTCTTTTCCCCTCTCCTCTCCTCCCTTCCCCACCCTTCCTCTCTCCTCCCCTCTCCTCTTCTCTTTCTTCCCTTCCCTTCTTTTGGTTTGTCGCCACACCCAGCAGTGCTCAAGGCTTCCTCCTAGCTCTGCTCAGGGATCACTCCAGGCAGTGCTTCGGGGACTTTTTGGACCCAGGGATGGAACCCAGGCCTCCCTCTTGCGCAGCCTGTGCTCATCCCCCCAGGCCGTCTCCCCAGCCCGTGGAGAACGTTTAATTCCTTCTCTCACATCCTGGTGACTGCAGCCTGATGGGCCCTGGTCTTGACTCTGAAACATCATCAGGGCACTGGACCAGAGAGGAGCTGGGGGCCCCAACCGTCTCCTTTCTGGGCTGGAGCCTGCCCAGAGGACTCGAGGGTGCTTTGAGGGCAGTGTGGTGGCCACTCGGAGAGTTCCACCTCTTGGAAGGCACACTCAAGGACGAAGAGACACCCCATCTCCAGACAGACCCTTGGACCACAACGAGCCCATTTGGCTGACTCCCCACACTAGCTTCCCTACCGCAGGGAGCAGAGCCAGTGGTCCGGAACATTCCCTGGGCGTTGCTTTATTTGATGCCCCACCTTGAAAGTGGATGCCATAATCACCATCTAGATCCGAGGTCACCCCACTGGTCAGGGAGGGGAAACCGAGTCCAGACCAATGAAAGCCCAGGGTCCGTCCACTGAGCCCTAAGTAGAGCGCATGCACGGGACTTCTGATGGGTGGAGCTGACCAGCTTATCATACAGTGAGGATTGGGGGCCCAGAGGGGCCAAGAAATGTCCTGGGCTTGCTTCTGGCTCCACTCAGGGATCACTCCAGGCAGTGCTCCAGGGACTTTTTGGTGCCAGGAATGGAACCCAGGCCTCCCTCTTGCACCTCCTCTGCTCATCCCCCCCCAAGCTGTCTCCCCAGGCCCAAGCTTCCAGGTCTCCTGACTCCCAATGTGGGGACCTTCTGAATCCAGGTATGCTGAACCTCCTCTTTAAGGACCCGCCCAACGCATGGTCACCCTCGCGCCCCGAGCCAGGTGGCAGAGGCTGAGCTGTGCCAAGTCCAGAGCCCAGGGATCTCAGGATGCCGAAAGATCCACCCCAGGAAGATGGGGACCGCCAACAGGAACGTGGGGGGCACTTCACCTCAAAGGGGTTCAGAGAGAAGTGCAGGTCTTCGGAGACGCTGGTGCTGACGTTCTTGACAGAGACATTCAAGAAGGGAGTGTTCCATGACTGCCTGCTCTTCTCCACCAGGAAGATCTCCACGTCCAGCCAGTACCTGGACGGGGTCAGGGTTAGGGGTGGGGAGAAGAGCCTGGCAGGCTGTGCGACCCTGGAAGTCCGCCCTAGAGGGTGACCCAGATTGTCCAGGAAGGGCTTGAGGTTGAGGTAGGAGCAGAGTGAAGGTGTGTGAGCCGCCTGGCGGCTTCTGGTGGATTTGAGTCACCAGCCTTGCTCTCCCAAGACTTGATGGAAATCTCTCTCTCTCTCTCTCTCTCTCTCTCTCTCTCTCTCTCTCTCTCTCTCGCTCTCTCTCTCTCTTTTTTTTTTTTTTTTTTTGCTCTTTGGGTCACATCCGGCGATGCACAGGGGTTACTCCCGGCTCTGCACTCAGGAATTACTCCGGACAGTGCTCAGAGGAGGACCATATGGGATGCTGGGAATCGAACCTGGGTCGGCCACATGCAAGGTAAACGCCCCCTCCCCTCTGTGCTATGGCTCCAGCCTGGGAATCTCATATTTTGTCCATCCCTTCATCAAAGATGGACCCTGGGACAGTTTCCTCCTGTTGCTGCTGAAAACAGAGCAACTTTGAACATCCACGCACGTGCCTTTGTTTAGAGAAATGTTCTCGGTTCGTTGGGGGCTATTTACCTGGGGGTGGGATTGCTGGCCCGTGTGGTGATTCTATTTCTTTTTGAAGTGGGGAGCCACACCGGGCTGTGTGAAGAGGTTACTCCTAGCCCCGTGCTCGGGAAGTGACCCCAGGAAGCGCTTGGGTCATATGAGGTTGTAAGGTTTTAAACTGGGCCCCGTCCTGGGTGCACAGACGCCCCCACCCCACTCCCCCGCCCCCTCCTCAGTTCCAAGGTGGGCCGACGTGGTGGCTCAGGGCGCCCTCTTTCAGGGCCACTGCAGCCCCCTCTGGCCTGGATGCGACTTCCTTGTTCCGTACCTCAGTTATCCTGGCTGGGGTCCGAGTAAGTGTGCTCTCCCCTCCCCCCCTCACAGCCCTGCCTCTCCAGCTCCCTTCCTGCTCCCTTCCTGCTTTGGCTCTTGCTTCTATTCCTGATCTTATTCCTGGATCAGCCCCAGTCCCTGCCCCACCCCCCACCTCTCCTTTGTTGCTCCCCACCCCAGGGGTCAAAACTCTAAATACAGTTCTTCCCCTCTCCCCTCTAAAGGTGGGCTGCTCCGCCTCCAGACATTGATCCAACTAGAAAACTCCTACGCCACCTTCGAAACCCCTCCACAGGTCACCTTCTTGGGGGGGGGGGCACACCCAACCGATGCTCAGGGGGTCCCCCTGGCTCTGCACTCAGGAATCACTCCTGGCGGTGCCCAGGGGAACAGATGCGATGCTGGGATTGAACCCAGGCTGGCTGGGTGCAAGGCAAACGGCCCTCCCCGCTCTCCTGTCGCTCCCCTCCCCCGGACCGCACCCCACAGCCCCCTTTTCCTCTTACTGGCCCCCTGGCTGCCCTGGCAGAAGCCCAACTCCGGCTGCGGCTCCGGCTCCGAGCACTCCTCACCTCTGCAGGTTGCTCAGGTGGCAGGGCTCGGGGCTGCCGGGTCTGCACCGGGAGAAGCACTCGGCAGTACTCTCCAGGGCGAACTGGTCGTACTGGCCCTTGTTGACGACGCCCTGGCAGATCTTGCTCGGCTTTTCTGGATTCGAAGTTTCGGAGCCACTGTTCACCTCTGAGGAAGGACGCCAGAAGAAAGGTGTGGGCAGGGATGCTGAGTGCTCCTGAGCTGGCCTCTGACTCTCCCTGCCTCTGTCTCTCCCAAGGAGACTGTGTCCCCTCCTCAGAGGACCAGGTGAGAGGCTCTGGAGAGAGGATGTCTAAAAAGGGCTTGCACAGACTCTCTGCGACAAAAAGGTGTTTATTTTTTTTAACCACCTCCTCCAGGGAGTCTGCCTGGCTTTTCGACAGAAAGAGGGGGGAAGAAGGGCAGGAAATAGGAGCGTCCAGGGCAGAAGCCATTCTCTGTGGGCGCCCCGGGGAGGAGCAAGGGTCCCGGGTGCGGGCAGCCCTCGGCGGACATCTGCAAAACCTGCCTCTGGTTGCCCTGTGAAATTTCAGGGCGATCCTGAGTGGGACCCTCAGAAGGCCCCTGTCTCAGCAGGAGGGAGATGCCTTCTCTGTGCTCATCTTCCGAGGACATCGGAGTGACCACTTAAATATATTAACGTGGTAATGTTCAATAACATAATTATGAGTAATTAAAATCTATTATAATTGATTCATTGTAACTCATGCCCAGAACCTTGAATCAGGCCTGGGTGCCGGAATGCATCTGCCCCTGCCCACCGCTCCTCACCCCCCGTGACATTTCTCCATTCATCTCTGCCCCAGAACTGGTCTGCTGGGGAACGGGCTAGAGGTCAGAGGGCAGGGGTCAGAGGACAGACGCTGACTCTTCCAGGACCACCGTGGTCTGCTTCCTTCTTGCTCCCCCGACACGGGGCTGCCTCCTCCTTGGTGCCCTCCCCACCCACACCCTTGTAAGTGGCCCTTTATTCTCACTGGACCTGCCCCCCATGGACCCTGAGGCCATGCAGGGCCCACTACAGCGAGTGGTCAGTGGCCCCTGGGAGCCCTGTGAGACCCTGTGGGGCTCCAGCACAGGTCTGGGCTCTGCCGTGCTTCTTTTTTATTGTTTTGGGGCCACATCTGGTCGTGCTGAGGGCTGAGTCCTGGCTGTGCCTCAAGGGATCAACTCCTGGGATGCTAGGACCAAGCCTGGGTGGGCTGTGTGCAAGGCCAACACCCTTTCCACTATCACTGCCTCCAGGACTTCTTAATTATGAATGAATGAATGAATGAATGAATGAATAGCCACTAGCCTCCAAACATCCCAAAAGGCAGGAGTCTTTTTTCTTATTCTTTTTTCTTTTTTTTTTTTTTGCTTTTTGCTTTTTGGGTCACACCCAGCAATGCTCAGAAGTTACTCCTGGTTCTGCACTCAGGAGTTACTCCTGGCGGTGCTCAGAGGACCCTATGGGATGCCGGGGATCGAACCCGGGTCAGCTGCGTGCAAGGCAAACGCCTTTCTTGCTGCACTGTCGCCCCGGCTGAAAAGGCAGGAGCCAGCTGGAGCTAGGAACCCCCCAGGCAGGGGTGCAGGAGAAAGGAACCACCTTCAGCCATTAGCAGGGAAAGTCCCCTGGGTCAGCCTCTGTGGAGAGACTCAGAACAGAAACAAATTGGGCCATGGGGCAGCGCCCGTCTGCAGGGCCAGCACCAAGCACGCCAATACCTGCCACTTCCTCCCGCCCGCTCACCTGTTGCTAGGTGGGGTCAGATACCCCGGGGCCAGAGAGGCTGGGGGAGGCCCCACGCTGCACCCCCCACGCCCAGAGCCACCACCGGGAAGCAGGTGGACGGCACGGCCACTTCCACCCTCTCCCGAGGCAGTGACCCACCGGTGGCCCTCCCGTGGGGAAAGTTCTAGGAGCCTTCACAGGGGTCAGTGCCCCATGGGGACCCACCTGGGCCTGCAGCCGTTCCTAAACCAGTACAAAGGAGTCTGGGGACAGCCAGAGTGGAGAGTTGGCCCCCAGAGGGGCAGCACCCAGGACAGAGGCCAGCAAGGGCAGGCTGGGGGCTTCCAATGGCCCTTCGGAGGCAGCACAGGTAGATGTCGGGGCCGAGCGGTGGCGACCGAGGGTCTGGATGTGGGTGGCCAGGGACAGGGAGGGAACAGCCGGGAAGGGCTGACCAGGCCGAGGGCTTTGGGTGGGTGGGGGGACCCATCTCCAGGCACTGTAGGAACAGGATGAGGGCTGAAGTCCGGCGCTGACCTCCACCTCTCATGGAAGTGGGGACTAACCCGAGGCTGGGGGTTCCTCGGGGCAGCCAGGGCACCCCGTTCCTCTGCCCCCCAGGCCAGGCCGGGGTGGGGTCAGTACTCACCTGAGACCCCCAGCAGTAGCAGCAGCAGCCAGGCCTCCCGGGTCCCCGGTGGCTCCATCCTTGGCCAGCCTGTCCTGCACAGCCGTGTCCTGTGTGTCCTGTGTGTCCCTCTGGGCCCAGCCCCACCTGAGGGGGCCGGTGGGGGGGGGGGGCACTCTGCCTCGCTACTTCCTCTGCCGCGCGCCTTCCTGCTCTGGCCGAGGCGGGATTGTGAAACACACGGGCACTGGGCGGGGAGTTCAGTGGCCCCGTCCCTGGCCCCCTCAGAGGTTCCAGAACACCCCCTGGGGGGCAGGGGTCTGAAACTGGTGGGCACCCGGGGGTCACGCAGGGACCCCCCGTCAGCCCGTTGTCCCTCCACCAGGGCCTGGCTCAACTTTGGGAATCCCACCAGCGAGGGGGCTGCTCAGCCGGATCTTGGGGGTTTGTTGCCATGGAGACCCCACCAGGAGGAGGAGGAGGAGGAGGAGGAGGAGGAGGAGGAGGAAGAGGAGGAAGAGGGTGCCACAGGGGCCGGCAGGTTTGCAGATGAGCTGGACAGAGGGGCCCCAGACTCCCCCAGACTGGACCACAGGAGAGGCTGGAAGGGAGGGGGAGGGCGGGCGCTGGCGCAGCCCCCAGGCTGACGTCTTTCTGTCTGGCCTTCTTCCTTCTGGTCTTGGTGCTCTTTGAGCCCACCCCCCACCCCCCAGACCCCACACCCCAGGGCCCTCTGCCACTGTTGCCTCTGGCTGAACCTTTGTTCTGAGAAGGGTCAGGAGGCCCCTGACGGTTCACCAGTGACCTCTGCAGGAAGTGGGAGCAGCAAACAATACATGGAGCACTCAGATGAGAGTCCACCTCTGCAAGGTCGAGGGAAATGCCCCCGGCACCCCTCGATCTGGGGCCTGGGAGAGTAAACGGGCCCACCCTGCCGCTTCCTTTTTTCTGTGTCAGCGGAAAGGCCGTGTCCCGTGGGCTCGGGAAGGGGTGTGGGCGCCAGGTGGACCCTGACCTGGAGCCCAGCGCTTCCTCCGCAGGGAGTGGGGGTGGGAGGGAGCCCCGAACCTGCCACTTCCTCCTAGCAGCCTCCCTGGCCTGACACCTCCCTCCCAGTGGGACAGACTCGAACTGAACCAGGGGACTTGCTGGGCCTGGCACGGACCCCTTCCTGCCTTGGGCCCCTCCTGACCCTGGGCACTGTGAGTGTTTGTGTCTGTGTGTGTGAGTGCATGTGTGTATGCATGTGTGTGTGTCTGTGCATACATGTGTGTGAGTGTGTGCCTGTGTGTGCATGGGTGTGAGCATGTATGTGAATGTGTGTGCATGTGTGTGTCTGTGCATATGTGTGTGTGCCTGTGTGTGCATGGGTGTGAACATATATGTGAATGTGTGTGCATGTGTGTGTGTGCGTGTATGTGCATGTGCGTGTGTGTGTGTGTGTGTATGTGTGTGTGAGAAGCATGTGCTCAGCCCTTGGGGCCAGCTGTGGTCCCAAGGGTTCTTTCTAGTGAGACCATCGGAGGGGTGCACCCTCCATGTGAGGGTGGGGCGGGGCTCCTGGGGAGACCCCGAGGCCAAGCCCGGTGCCGGGTGCGAGGACCCCCTCCTGTGGAGACTGGGAGGTCCGTGGAGGGGTGCTGGCTCTGAGAGGCCAAGAGGGGAATCCAGAGGTTTGTTGCCTGTCCTCAGGGCCTGGGGAAAGGTGGAAGCAGAGGCCGGGAGGAGTCGCGGAAGATGAGGGGGGGGTGCGTGGTCCCACACATCCAGGTCCCTGCAGGCCCCCTGGGCACTGCCAGCTGCCACTGCTGCCCAGAAGGCTCCTGCCCATCCATGCAAATCAGAGCCCAGGCCCTACCCACGTGCCCGGAAAGGGGCAGAGGGAGACCCCAGAAGAGGCCAGGAAGCTCAAGGCCCTGCCCCCCACCCCACCCTGACTCTGGGCTTCTGGAGGGTCCAAGCAGCTGTGGCCAAAGGGGTTCACTCTGCTGGTCTACATGCACAGCAGGGAAGCCCCCTCTCCTGGGTCCCAGGTGAACAAGGTGGACAGCGAGATTGAGGAGCTCACAGGCACCCTCACCCCAGCCCCATCCCATCACCTGCCGAGGGCAGGATTCCATTCTCTAAGGTGATGTCTTCAGACAGCGAATTAATGGCATCATCCTGGCTCTGCACTCAGAGATCCCTTCTGGCAGTGCTCGAGGAACCATAACAGGTGCTGGGGATTGAACCAGGATCAGCCTCGTGCAAGGCAAATGCCCTCCTTGCTGTCCTGTTACTCCAGTCCCCACCTTTGTGTATCTGGGGTGGTCGGGCCTCTCAAGCAGTGCTCAGGCAGGAGGCCCAGGAATCCTCCCAGCAATTCTCAGCCAGCGCCTGGGAATTCCCTGGGGGCCAACCTGGCAGGGCTGGGGTCTCCGGGCCTACACCCGGCTGTGCTTGGGGGACTTGGGGGTGTTGGGGGTCAATCTGGAGCCCCTGCATGCAAGCTGTGTGTCTCGAACCCTGGGCCAGTTTTCTGAGCCTCACAGTGTTTATTTAATTTGTTCCCAAAAGTCTTGGTCCCAGGACTTGAACCCAGGTCCCCCACATGCCAGGTAGATGCTCCACCCATGGCCCTGACTCCCAGCCTGAAGATCTACATCAGGATTTTACACCGCCACAGTCGGGCACTTATGATAAAAGCTTTTAGTCCAATGGGCAAGAAAGAGCGGACCTCACTGCAAGGAGAACATGCAGTGTTTCCGTGAAAGGCTCTAAGACAGCTACTGAAACTGAGTGCAGACCCCAGAGAGGGGTGCATAACTTTCTAAAAATACGTTTTGAAACATATTTTTTGATGATTCTCTATCACCAAATGTTTTTTTTAAATACCTATTTCATATACACAAATAATCAGAATTGTGTAAAAGTTTCTCTGGCCAAGAGGGGTATCACTGTCCACTGTCACTGTCCTCCCGTTGTTCATCGATTTGCTTGAGCGGGCACCAGTAACATCTCACAACAAATTGTGAGACTTTTTGTTACTGTTTTTGGCATATTGAATACATCACGGGGAGCTTGCCAGGCTTTGCCGTGCGGGCGAGATACTCCCGGTAGCTTGCCGGGCTCTCCGAGAGGGGCAGAGGAATCAAACTGGGGTCAGCCCAGCCGGCTGCGTGCAAGGCAAGCGCCCTACCCGCTGTGCTATCGCTCCAGCCAAGAGGGGTAATAAATGAAAAAAAGTCCCGCTTAGATTCACAGATTTTATCCTACCCAATGCTGAAAAATAACAGCTTTTTTTTCCCCCTGTGAAATCAGGAACAAGACAAGGTTGTCCAAGCTCACTACATCTATTTAACATAGTATAAGATGTTTTAGCCAGAGTGACCGGCGGCCTAAAGAAGAAATTAAAGGAATCCAGGGTTCCGAGCGATAGCACAGTGGGTAGGTTGTTTGCCTTGCACACAGCCAGCCTGGGTTCAATCCCCCGATCTCTATTTGGGACTCTGAGGTTAGGTGCAATCCCTGAGCACAGAGCCAGGAGCAAACCCTGAAACAGCCCATAAACCAAAATAAAAATAAAGTAAGAGGAATCCAGGTCTAAGAAAAAAAGAAGTCGGGGGCTGGAGCGATAGCACAGTGGGAAGGGCGTTTGTCTTGCATGCGGCTGACCCACGTTCGATTACCAGCATCCCGTATGATCCCCCGAGCACTGCCAGACGTAATTCCTTCCTGAGTGCATGAGCCAGGAGTAACCCCTGTGCATTGCCAGGTGTGATCCAAAAAGAAAAAAAATAATTTAAAAAAAAGAAGCAGAAGTATCATCATTTGCAGATGATTTGAAATAAATATGAAACACGCTAAAGACAATTTTAAGGACTTTAGAAACAAGGACAGCAAGTGACTGGTCCCAAGATCAATGTTCAGAACCTGCCCCAGGCCCCCCAGGCACATCAGGAAGAAAGTGCTCCCACGCACAGATGCATTAGGAAAATAAAATACCCAGAAAAAAAATTTCAAAAAGGAAATGAAAGCTCTGTGTAACAAAAACTGTAAGAAATTATCAAAAGACAGAAGAAATTAAGAGACAGAAAAACATCCCATGTACAAGGGCATAGAAATTTAATAAGTTCAAATGTCCATTTTACCAAAAGCAATGTACAGACTTCATGCAACCCAAATAAACTTCTAAAGGCATTTTAATAGGAAACAGAATAAAAATACTAAGGCTGACACAGAAACTTAAAACTCTCGAATCGTTTTGTCCATCCTGAGGAGGAAAGAAAACTCAGATATCAGATGGTCTGGCTTCAAATTATACTACAAAGCTATGTTTGTAGCTACATTACAATTGCCTGGAATAGAATTAGATACACGGGTCAATGGTGTGGAACTGGAAGTCTATACAACAAAATGCACGTATTTGTCAGTATTTAATCTATGACAGAGGATCTCAGACTGTATAGTGGAGAAGGAGTCCCTTCAACGAATGTGAGTGGAGAAGCTGAGGACACAGGTGAAAGCATATGGCCAAGCCACCCTCTCATTCAGACGCAAAAACAAACTCCAGATGGGTTAAAGACCGGAACGTAACGCCCAAACCCATATGTTCACTATAAACTAACATAGGGGAAACATCACTGTCCTGTCCTCCCGTTGTTAATCGATTTGCTCGAGCGGGCCCAGTAACGTCTCCGTCATGAGACTTGTTGTTACTGTGTTTGGCATATCGAATACATCACGGGCAGCTTGCCAGGCTCTGCCGTGCGGGCGAGATACTCTCGGTAGCTTGCCGGGCTACCGGCAAGAGAGGGGCGGAGGAATCGAACCCAGCTCAGCTGGGCTGGCTGTGCAAGGCAAATGCCCTACCGCTGTGCTATCACTCCAGCCCACAGGGGAAACATACATGACATTATTATTAGAGGTGTTTGGGGGGCAACGGCACCTAGAAGTGAAATGTAAGGAGACAGAATGGATGAGAGGACAAAGTCAAAGGAAGAGACAGACGAACAGACACAGGCTGGAACTAAGGGTGCCTGAGGGGGGAACAGGAGTGGGGGCGGGGTGCTGGTGCGTGAGGGAGCCCCTCCTCAGAGGCAACAGGGAGCTGGAGCCGAGTAGCCCCGCCCATCCCCTGCTGCCCGCCCCCAGCCTGCCCCCAGCCCTCACAGTCCCTGTCTTCCCTTCCCCTCACTGCAGTCTCCAGAGACGCAGCTTCTCAGCCAAGGACTCTTCTGTTGTTCATGGTTCCTGAGAGTCCCCGGGGTTTCCCGTCCATAGAACATCTTAAAAACATCTCAGAGGCAAAGACCCCAAAACATTTACCTTGACTTGTTACAGCTACTTGATTTGAAAACAGCTACTGATTTTTTTTAATTATGTTCTTCTTTACACTCTTCTACAGGTTCCACATTCTCTATCGTAAACACGTACTTTTTAATATCAAAAGATGCACAAACTGGCAATAAAAAATGAAATCCCTTTAAAAAAAAAAGACAGGAAGAAAATCCCACCCATTTTTAAGGCGGAGATCCAGATCAAATGCCATCTCCTACAAGAAGTCCTCCTGGATTCCCGGTTAGGAATAAGGGTTCCTGAAGCTTCTGGAGTTTTGTCTTCGACACGTCTCGAGTGTCAGACTGAGTGATCCCAAGGGGGAGTGACCAGGTCTGTTGGTCCCAATTTGTGTCCAAGAGAATGAATTGTGATGAGCTGTGGCTGGGAGGCGGGGGAGAGGTGCACCCCGAGGCCTCTGTCTGGCGGTGCAGTGCTGCAGTGAGGGTGCTCCCTTGACAGTTCCTGCTGTGGGAGAGTGTCCGGAAAGGCCAGCCCCCGGGGTGGGGGGCTCTGAGCAGTGAGACGGGGGCGCAGTTTAGGAACAGCTGGCCTTGCCCTCCTGAGTCAGGGGCAGGCACAGGCCCACCCGGAGGGTACCAGCAGGCCCCAGGAGGCCCCTGGGATCTTCCACCCCCAAAGCATTGCTGGGACTGGGTCCCGGGCTATGTGAGGGGCGGGAGAGGAGGGGCAGGCCCTGGGCAGTGAGCGGCAGGAGAAGGGCCTCAGGCCTCCCGAGCCGGGGCATCCCAGGCCCACCGAGGCCCGCGGGAGTCAGCTGAGGTCCAGGTGGCGGCTAGATGCGGCCCGACGAGGTGCTGCCCGAGCTGATGGGCAGCCTGGCGCTATCCGAGCTGCTCTTGAGAGAGGAGGAGCCAGCCCGGGCCTGCAGCCGCATGGACCAGTACCAGAGGAAGATGAGGAAGCCTGTGGGCGGGGGGAGAAGGCAGGGTTCAGAGGGCGCACGCACACACGCACACACAGGCACACACTCACGTACACACAGGCATGCACACACACAGGCACACACACAGGCACACAGGTGCACACGCACACATACGCACACAGGTGTACACAGACACACATGCACACACACGCACACATGCACGCATATGCACATATGCACACACATGGACACACACTTGCATACATGCACACACATATACATGCACATTCATGCACACATACAGACGTGTGTGCACATGACACACTCACGCACACACAGGCACACACTCATGCACACACAGGCATGCACACACACAGGCACACACAGGTGCACACAAGCACACAGGTATACACAGACAAAAAGGCATACACATGCACATAGGTGCACAAACGCACACAGGTGTACACAGACACACAGGCACACACAAGCACACAGGCACGCACACAGACATGCGCACAGGCAGATGCATGCACACATGCACACACACGGACAGGTGCACACAGGCACGCATTCACACACAGGCACACACAGGCATGCATGCACACCCACAGGCACACATGCACAAAGGTACACTCACATGCACACATGAGTACCATGCATACATGCACACATATGCACACATGTGCACACACTTGCATACACGCACACACATACATACGTATACACATGCACACATGCAGACGTGTGTGCACATGCACGCACACACACACACATGCACGTGGATACAGAGGGAGCAGCTCACGGACCCCTACACGGGGCTGTGATGACCGAGTTCTCCCTCCCTGCACAGCCAAGCGCAGAGTGGGGAGGGGCGTCTGTCCGAGGCGGGGGTGCAGAGGGCCCTCATGAACAGCCCCCCGCCCATTCTCCAGGCCGAGCTCCTTGCACAAAGGAAAGGGGACGCCTCATCTTTCTTGTTTGGGTGTTTCGGTCACACCTGGCGGTGCTCAGGGGTTACTCCTGGCTCAGTGCTCAGGGATTGCTCCTGGTGGGGGGAGCTGGGGATCGAACCCGGGTCGGCTTTATGCCAGGCAAGCGCCCTACCCGCTGTACTATCACTCTGACCTGGGATGCCCCCAATCCACGTACGGGGAGACTGAGGCCAGGCTGCCGCCAGCATCTCTGCCCCCCAGCCCCACCTACCTTGGAAGGAGGTGATGATGCTGAAGATGTAGAGCACTGCCAGCTGGAAGGTGCCGGAAGCGAAGGAGAAGAAGACCAAGGCCCAGGGCAGGCCCAGGACCAGGCTGAGGCCCAGCAGCGTCAGCACGTGCGGCCACTTCTGGGCGTGGGGACGCAGCCGCACGATCTGCAGCACCATGGTGCCCAGCATGGCCGTGTTGAACAGGAACACCAGGCTGAAGAGCCCCAGGTTGGTGATGTGGCCCACCAGCGAGTCGCGGAGCCAGCACCTGCGGGCAGGGACACGGCTCAGAGCCAGCCGGGCGCACGTCGGGTGGCGGGAGCACCCGCGGGAACTGCGCCCAGGCACGCCTAGAACCCGGCCCAGGAGCACGCTGGGCAGGAGCACGCGGACTCAGCTTCTTCCCATCCTCATTCTCTCTCTCAGTGGGAGCAGAGCCCAGGGAGGGGCCACTGCGATTCCCCTCAAATAATTCCTGGTGTCCTATAGGGTGCCGGGATCAAACCCAGGTCAGCTGCATGCAAGGCTAGTGCCTGCCCGTGTGCTCCCTCCAGCCTGCTCTCTCTCTCCCTCTGTGTGTGTGTGTGTGTGCGTGTGTCTCTCTCTGTGTCTCTGTCTCTCTGTGTGCATGTGCGTGTCTCTGCCTGTGTGCTTGTGTGTCTCTGTCTCTTTCTGTCTCTGTCTCTCTCTCTGCCTGTCTGTGTCTCTGTGTGTGCATGCGTGCGTATGTGTGTCTCTGTCTCTGTCTCTGTGTGCACGCGCATGAGTGTGTGTCTCTATCTGTGTGTGTCTGTCTCTGTGTGTGTGTGCATGTGTCTCTGTCTCTGTCTCTCTGTCTCTGTCTCTGTCTATCTCTGTGTGTGTGCATGCGTGTGACTCTGTCTCTGTGTGTGTGCCCGTGTGTTTCTGTCTCTGTGTGTGCGTGCGTGTGTGTCTCTGTGTGTGTGCGTGAGTGTGTGCCTGTGTGTGTCTCTGTCTCTGTGTGCATGCGTGTGTGTGTGTATCTCTCTGTGTGTGTGTGTGAGTGTGTGTCTCTGTCTCTATCTCTCTGTCTCTGTCTCTCTCTGTCTCTGTCTGTCTGTCTGTCTGTCTGTCTCTCTCTCTCTCTCTCTCTCTCTCTCTCTCTCTCTCCTGTCTCTCCGGACCCACAGACTCACCAGCATTGAACACTAGGGGCCGTTTGTCTCTGCACTTACTTGGCAGGGTGGGGGGAATGGGGTTAGGTCACACCCGGGCGATGCTCAGGGGTTACTCTGCACTCAGGAGTTACTCCTGGCGTGTTCGGGGAACCATATGGGATGCCAGGGATGGCACCCGGGTTGGTGGCGCTCACACACACCCTCTCCCCACTGTGCTCTCGCTCTCTGCACTCTCCCCCTTGGCTACTCACTGTTTGTAACCAGAGAGGCTGGTTTTCCTATCCATACTGTGGATGAGTGAGTTCAGAAACATTTACAGGGACACGCTGGGCGATTCACGAAAAAATATTCAGTCACGTTGCCGGCGGGCCAGAGGTGACGCACACCCCCGAGTCACCACCAATTCACAACTTCATGAATGACCCACGAGCCGGGGGCTGTGGAGACGGCACCTTCCCAGCGGGGCAAGACCCCGGGTTGAGTCTGGGTGCAGTCAGAGCGAATAGGGGTCTGGGGTCCAGCCGCCCTTTCCCCCAGCTCACGCTGGATTGTGCCTGCTCTGGGCTTCTGTCAGAGCCCTGGGCCCAAGGAACATTCTAGAGGCTTCTCTGCTCCCTCGTTCTCCCACTCACAAATGGGGAGACGAGATCTAGAAGTGGGTTGAGGACTCTGCAAGGCCACTGGCCACAGGGGCAGACCCAGGCTGACCCTTGGCTCAGGGTCCGGCCACTACCAAGCCCTGGGGGGTTTGCTGGCCCGTGCAGCTGGGCCCAGTGCTCCCTGAGCAATCTCCCACCACCCCACCCCCACCCCAGGCCCGCCGCCCTGCCCCACTCACATGGAAGGGTACGAGACGCTCTCAGGGGCCCTGTGCACGGCCAGGATGATGGAGCCATAGTTGTTCACATCCACCAGTGCCACCAAGGTCACCAGCGAGAGGGGGAAGCCTGGGGAAACAGGGCAGTGGGCATTTCTATGGGGGGGCATCTCTGCTGGCCTCGCCCTGCCCCCTGCCCTCCACGGGGCCCTCCCGGCTGGGGGACAGGAGGCCGCAGGAGAAGTGGGAGGCACAGACGGGTCACGTGGGGATGGGATACTCCCAGGATGGAGGCTTGGCCTCACCCCTGAGCTGGACTGGGCCCCCCTAGCTGCTGGGAACCCGGGACTATCCAGAACTGGGTGCCGTGACGCCCGGGGGCCCCATCACTGCCCTGAGAAGAGTCTGGGTGCCGGCTGGACCGGGCCAGCCAGCTGGCCCAAGAACAAAGGCTGCCTGAGGTGGCAGATGCCCTGCAACAGTGCACAACTTGCACCTCCACACCAGGCGGTCAAGGGCGGTTGGGGTCGGGCTCATCATCACCAACCTACAGGGAACCCGAGGACACAGGCAGGGAGGCAACCCCCAAAGCCACGTCCAGGGCTTCCCACACACTCACCCCAGCCCACGATGCTCAGCTTGAGCAAGTAGCCAGGGACATAGGTGCCGAAGACCTCCACCACCAGCCGGTATAGGTTGTAGCCCTCGAGGCCCATCCAGGTGAGGCAGGCCAGCAGGGAGAAGTGCAGGAAGATGGCGCTGGCCCGGCAGCCTGCCTCCGAGCCAGCCAGGGCCACCGGCTCACTGAGCAGGAAGCTCACGTCCAGCAGAAACACGGCCAGCAAGAGGTTCATATGCACCTTGATGGTATAGTCTCGCCCCTTGCGCCTGCACAGGGCAAGTGGGGTCACCTCGATGTGCCCATCCTTCCTCCTCCAGACAGCCTTCCCTGATTACACACACACACACACACACACACACACACACACACACACACACACACCCTATCTTATTCTTGGGCTGCAGGCATGCCGCCACCCCCTGCCCTGTCCATCCTGTGCTCTCGGGCCTGGGCACCGTGTGTACACTCAGTGGCCATTTTGCTCTGACGGTGAAGTGGGCAAATTAGCTGCCCTCACCCACCCAAAGTTCCCGTGGTTGGAGGGAAAGATGCCTGCGCCCGCAGCCCACTGAGTTACCAGCTGCACACGGGGTCGTCTGTCTGCCCAGGGGGTGCAGGTCTGCTGCACCCAGCGAGCCCCAAACATCCGGGACCATCCTCACAGCCCCCCACCGCCCCCTGACCACCTGCCCAGCTCCCGTTAACCCCCTGACTGCCCCTGACCACCCCACTCCCCCTTTCTGCCTGCACCTGGCGCCCGCCACTGCCTGTCCAGGGGCTGTAGTGACCACCAAGAGGGGAGCCAGTGTCCAGGGCGGGTCTCTGGCTGTGGGATTCTAACGGGGGGCCCAGGAATGGAGGGACCCCTGTCCCCCAGCAGGCCGTACCTGGAGCAGAAGTAGGTGCCGATGGTGAAGACGCAGGCCAGGGCGGAGACCACGCAGCCCACGTAGGACAGCAGGGACAGGTAGTGCCTGTGCACGGCGTCCACGTCCGCGGAGGAGGTCTGCGGGGGGCAGGGCAGGGCCGTAGAAGGTCAGGGCAGGTGCTCGCCCAGCTGCGACCCTGCCCTGCATGGAGCAGAAGCCGAGTTTCCAGTTCCCCAGAGGGGCCAGTGGCGGGAGAAGACCCGCCCCCAGCTTGTGTCTGTCCCTCATGGGTGGGGCAGGGGACACCACACCCAGGGGGCTTCCAGCCCGGTTGGACAGCCCCACTGAGGGTTGTGTGGTCACCCGGGGTCCTCGGAGGCTGGCAGCATGAACCAAGCCATACTGTCCACTGCAGCACTGTCCTCCCGTTGTTCATCGATTCGCTCGAGCGGACCCCAGTAACATCTCCAGTGTGAGACTTGTTGTTACTGTGTTTGGCATATTGAATATGCCACGGGGAACTTGCCAAGGCTCTGCCGTGCGGGTGGAATACTCTTGGTAGTTTGCCGGGCTCTCCGAGAGGGGTGGAGGAATCGAACCCGGGTCGGCCGCGTGCAAGGTAAACGCCCTACCCGCTGTGCTATTGTGCCAGCCCAAACCAAGACAAGCCAAGCCGCAACACCTCCAAAACTGCCTGCAAGCGGGTCTCTGCCGCCGAGGGGTCTCTGCCTCTGAGGGTCTCTGCCCCCACTCCCAGGGTCTCTGATATCTGGAGTGTCTCTGGCCCAGAGGGTCTCTGCCCCCTGGAGAGTCTCTGTGTCTCCCTCACCCAAGTGTCTCTGCGCCCTGGAGAGTCCTTCACGTCCACTCCCGTCCCTGGGGCACTGGAACCTGTGTTCACTCACTGCAGTCAGCAGGAAGGACCAGTGACTCCACAGACCAGCTGTGTGATCTCATGCTGCGTCTTAACCTCTCTGAGCCTCTGCATCAGCACCCACTAAATGGGAGTGGAGGGCCCCCCCGGGGGCGGTTTGAGAAGGCCCGCGGGGGGGGGGGGCGCTCACCATCAGCAAAGCGAAGTAGGTCAGGTGGGTGCAGAGGCAGGACGTCTGCGTCTCCCGGCGGATGGTCTCACAGCCCGCATCACTCCAGCTCCCCTGGCTGCTCACTGAGGAGGTGGTGGTGCGGAGCAGGGATTCAGCCCAGGGTCCGGGCCCACAGTCTCTCCCATCCACCCCACACGCCAGTGCATGACTCCTCTGAGCCTTTACTCTGCCTCGCAGATCTGCCCAGCTGCCATCACTCCCTCCTCCAGGAGGCCCTCCTGGGTTCACCCCGCCTTCCGGGATGCCCTTTCTCCTCTAGAGTCTGGACCCAACCTGGGGACGCCTCACACTCACATGTCGGGTCCTCGACCCAGAAGACACATTGGAGAGTCATGTTCTTCTGCAAAGACAAGAAAGGAGAAGGGCGGTTCCCTTTCTGTCCCCCGCGACAGTCCAGGCTGAGAAAGTAGCCCCCTAGCCCCTCGTCAGTCACCACTTGGTGTGGCCCTGCGGGGGTGGGTGGGCACAGGACCCCCAGGTCCCCTCACTCACCGGCTGAGGCAGGTGCTGGAAGGTGAGCACCACGGGCTCCGAGAGATTAGCCACTCTGGTGTCCTGCACGACGATGCCCACCACTTTCTCCCCCAGGACCTGGCTGGAATTCTTGTCCTGGATACAGGGGTGGGGGCGAGAGAGGGAGGGGCTCAGGGCTGGGAGAAGAGAGACAGCCGGAGAAGGGGGGGCTCCCGGCTGCTCCCCTGATTTCCTGCTGAGGTGCAGGCTCCCTCTGCAAATGTTCCTTCAGGGAGCACAACCCTGGAGTCAGATCAAGGCCGTCCCAGCTCCCTGAGCCCCTGCAGGCTGTTCCCAGCTCCCTGAGCCCAGTGCATGCAGTTCCCAGCTCCCTGAGTCCTTGCAGGCTGTTTCCAACCCCCTGAGCCCCTGCAGGTAGTTCCCAGCTCCCTGAGCCCCTGCAGGCTGTTCCCAGCTCCCTGAGCCCAGTGCATGCAGTTCCCAGCTCCCTGAGTCCTTGCAGGCTGTTTCCAACCCCCTGAGCCCCTGCAGGTAGTTCCCAGCTCCCTGAGCCCCTGCAGGCTGTTCCCAGCTCCCTGAGCCCAGTGCATGCAGTTCCCAGCTCCCTGAGTCCTTGCAGGCTGTTTCCAACCCCCTGAGCCCCTGCAGGTAGTTCCCAGCCCCCTGAGCCCCGTGCAGGCTGTTCCCAGCTCCCTGAGCCCCTGCAGGTTGTTCCCAGCTCTCTGAGCCCTGCTACCATGTGGATGTATATTCCTGCTTCCCTCCTATGCTCGCCTGGCTCCAGCTCCCTCCAGCCCCCCACCGGCCACACAGGAAGGGTCTCCCGGGACAGGGCCCACCTGGAACAGGGCCTGGCTGCTGAAGTCCACCACCAGCAGCCGCTTGGCAGACGCCCCGCTCCGGCCTTTGGTCTTCTGGAAGATGGCGCGGGGCAGCCGCACGGAGTACTCCTGGATCTCGCTCTGTTCCTCCTGCAAACCAGGGTCCTTCTAGGCTCAGCTGGGGGGAGGCACCCCAGGCTCGGCCACACAGGTGAGCGGGGACACCTCACATGACGCTGCATGGCTGAGGGCCCCGCCCCCCACCCCTCCCCTCCAGGGAGCCACTCCTGGGTCCGCACAGCCCCTTCCCATCCCTCTCTCCCCCAGACAGGCCGGAGAATCCGAGGCTCGTGGCTGCGAGGGTGGCTTCCCATGACAGTTGTCAGCTCCGTCCCTGGCATCCTGGCCGGGTGGGCTTCGAGGACAGGGGGCAGATTCTCCCTCACCGGGTCTATACCAGGGTCAGCCCCGAGGCTGGGGTCACAGCAGGATGTTTTGGAGCTGGGCTCTGCCCACACAGAGTGTCACCCCGTGTTCCCCGGGCACTGTGAGGGTCCCAGTCAGCCCCTGCCTGACACCGGAGAGAGAGCCGTGTCCACCCTTCCTGACCTCCTGCCGGGAGCGGATGTGCAGGTCCTCCAGGCTGGCCGCGGGCCCCAGCTTCCAGACCGTGGCGTTCACCCGGTCTTCCTCGAAGGACACCGAGTCCCCAGGGAACTTGACCGAGGTCAGCTTGGACTCCAGGTCCTGCAGCTGCCTGGTGGGGAGAGGGTAGATGAGGGTCACGCCCCGCGGGGACCAGGCAGTGGTGGGGGGGAGCAGGAGCGAGAGGGCCCGCCCACCCCACACTCACTGGCCAATGGGCGTGGGCAGGAGTCTCCGGCCACCTCTTCCCGGCTGCCTCAGGAGCTGGCTTAGCTGCTGAAGGTCCCGTTTCAGCTCACACATGTCCACCGAGGCATTGTGGGAGGTGTTCTGGGGGGGTTCTGGGAAGATAGACAGACAGACTGATCCTTAGGGCTGTGCCTAGATTCCTGCAGCGCCCCACCCCCACGGGCCATCTGCTCTGGAAGCATCAGCCCCTGGACCCTGCTGAGACAAGGCTGTGGAGGGGGCGGCCAGCTCACATCCACCAGGTGCCCCAGGCCTGTCCCCTCCAGGTCCTTTGCAGAGACAGGAGCCTTGCGTGGGCCCCAGCACAGCTCCGTGACCAGCTCCAGCCCCTCAAGGGTCAGAGGAGGTGGACACATAGGGAAGCAGGTGGCCGGAGAGGCCACACCTGAATCTCTGAGACGAGACAGGACTTGCTGTCCAGGGCTGTTCCAGAAAATCTCTCTCAGGCTGGCTGTGCTGCGCAGGGCTGGGATGCGTGGCTATAGGGGCCCCCCAGGTGTGGGGCAGGATCCTAGCCTCGCCCGAGAGAGGGGCCCCATTGGAGCGGTCCCAGATCTCCCCTGCGCTGCCGCACCCCAAGCACATATGAGCATTTTCTTCTGTTTTGCTTCTGGTTTTTGGGGGGTCACGCTTGGCAAGGCTCAGGACTTACTCCTGTCTCTGTGTTCCAGGATCACTCCTGGGCACTCAGGGAACCAAATGGGGTGCCAGGGATCCAACTCAAATCAGCTGTGTGTGAGGCAAGCGCCCTGCCTGTTATGCAGTCCCCCCTCCTCTCTCTCACACAAACATACACACTCACACACATACACACTCTCCATCTCACACACACACTCTCACACACGCTCTCCATCTCACACACACTCACACACACTTTCTCACACACATACACACTCACACACTCTCACATATACGTACTCTCACACACACACACTCTCTGACACACACTCTCTGACACACTCTCACACACTCACACACATAAATTCTCACACACTCTCACACACACCCTCTGATACACACCCTCTCATACATATACTCTCACACACATATACAATCTCCATCTCACACACACACTCTCACACACACTCTCTTTCTCACACACACACACTCATACACACATTCTCACACACATAAACTCTCTCACATACTCTCACACACACCCTCTCACACACTCACACACTCTCTTTCTCACACACACACTCACACATACACACTCTCTTTCTCACACACACTCTTTCTCACACACACTCTCACATATACATGCTCTCTCTCACATACACACACACACACACACACACACACACACATACACAGCCCTGTATTTTCGCGGCCTGAGCTGCCAACAGATGTAAGGCGCCCTGCCCCCAAGTTACCCCACCCCTACTTGGCTGCTTGGGAGGAATCAGCATCGGGAGATCCCGACTGGCCACCCCCAGGGACTCCAGCCCTCCCTGCCCCCATCCTCAGCTGCCTCAGCACCCTGCACCCCTGGGCAGGTCGGTCTGTCCCCAGCCAGTGCCCGGCTGTGCTTGCTCTGACCATGGACCTGACTTACTCCCCAACACACCCCAGCCTGCACCCCTGCTTTCTCTCCTGCTCCCTCTCTGGGAATTGGGGAGCAGCATGTCGGGCAGCCGGGATCGGCAGCCCATCCCTCAGGGGTCTGCCTTCCCATCTCCCATGTGTGGCTGCAGCCACTCACCCCACTTTGGGCCACCGGCTCCTTCCCCTGCACCTTCTCCAGCCTCCCCCCACCCCCAGCCCTGATGGTCCTTTTCTTTTTTTTTTCTTTTCTTTTCTTTTTGGGTCACACCCGGCGAAGCACAGGTGTTACTCCTGGCTCTGCACTCAGGAGCTACTCCTGGCAGTGCTCAGGGGACCATCTGGGATGCTGAGAATCAAACCCAGGTCAACTGCTTGCCAGGCAAATGCCCTACCCGCTGAGCTATCTTTCCAGCCCCGCGATGGTCCTTTTCTGCCTTCCGTGGCAGCCTGCCTGCAGAGCCCCAAGACACGCACCCCAACCCAGTGACCCTCGGGTCCCGTCCAGGATAGCCTGGCCTGTCCACCACCACCCCCCACTCCCGTGCCCCGACAGCGGCCTTACTGTGGAAGAAGAAGTTGAAGCTGGCAACACTGGGCAGGCTGGTATTCCCACGGCTCCACCAGGAGCTGACGGACGTGGCGAGCAGCGGGGGTCCCTGGACCTGGGGATCCTTCCTGTGCCTGAAGCAGAGCAGGTCGGACGCCCGGTCACTCAGCGGGAAGTCACTCTTCCCATAGCGGAGATGCAGTCGCCCGGCCCCGCGGTGCCAGTAGAGGCAGAAGTGGTAGAGGCCCCGGGGCTCCGGGAAGTCCCAGGAGGCCGGCGGGAGCCCAGGGAAGGGCGCGCCGATGATGAGGGCCGCCTCGGAGTTGTTGATGGAGATGAGCAGCTCCGATGTCTGCTCGTACTGCAGGCGGCTTCTCTGTGTCTGGTTCCGCTGGCCACAAAAGCGGAAGTCCTCCCTGGGGCTGCCGGCATGAGCACCTGAGGGGGCACAGGCTTCAGGTGGGGCGACCCAGGAGCAGGAGCCAGTGGGGGTCCCGAGCTCTGGGCCTGAACCCACAAACAGTCCAGGGGGCCCCACACAAAATGAGTTTATCTGGGTTGGGAGATGCTGAAAGTAGACTATGGGCCAAACATGAGGGCCACTTAAAGTAAAGTAAGTAAAGGCCCTCCCGTTGATCATCGATTTGCTCGAGCGGGCCCAGTAACGTCTCCATTGGAGACTTTGTTGTTACTGTGTTTGGTATATCGAATACGTCACGGGGAGCTTGCCAGGCTCTGCAAACCATAACACCCAAAAGGAGAGAGAGGGAGTAAGAGGGAATGCCCTGCCGCAGAGGCAGGGGTGGGGGATTGAGGTGGGGTGGGATGGGAGGGATCCTGGGAACACTGGTGGTAGAGAATGGGCACTGGTGGAGAGATGGGTACTCGATCATTCGATGACTGAATCACGAAAGTTTGAAAGTCTATAACTGTATCTCATGGTGATTCATTGAATATATATATATAAGAATTTATTCCCTCTTGGGCTGGAGCAATAGCACAGTGGGCAGGGCGTTTGCCTTGCACGTGGCCGACCCAGGTTCAAATCTAGCATCCCATATGGTCCCCTGAGCACCGCCAGGAGTAATTTCTGAGTGCAAAGTCAGGAGTAACCCCTGTGCATTGCCAGGTGTGATCCCCCCCCCAAAAAAGAATTTACACCCCTCCTCGGAAAAACACCACCTTCACAATGCTCAGGGCTAACTCAAGAATGAATAATGGGGGCCAGAGTGATAGCACAGCAGGTAGGGTGTTGCCCTGCACACAACCAAGCCGGGTTCGATCCCAGATGGCATCCCATATGGTTCCCCCAAGCACCACCAGGAGTAATTCCTGAGCGCAGAGCCAGGAGTAACCCTGGCATCTCTGGGTGTGACCCAAAAAGCAATAAATAAATAAATACTGTATAATAATGTCAAAGGCGGAAAAAGAAGGCTTCCTATAGTCTTCAAGTAACTCCTGCAGACAGGCCTGTGCAGGCTGTGCACTGCCCAAGCTCTCTACCTGTCATGGAGAGTTCACTGTGCCCCATGGAGGCTGTGCACGGGGTGGGGTTGGGGAGGGCTTATTAAAATGCCCTCTTCCTGTGAGGTAGTGGCCGTGCTCCCACTGACTGAGAAACAGGCACGTTTCTGCAGGAAACCCGCAGTGCCCTCCCCAGGAGCGCCTACCTTGGCCCAGGACGAGCAGGAGCAGCGTGGACCCCAACAGGACACCGGCGGCCATCTTGCTCCCCGAAGTCACCCCGGACAGTCGCTGCCTGAAAGAGACCAGAGTGTCAGCCAGGGCCTCAGGGGCTGGCCATGCTGCTTGGTTCCTGGGCCTCAGGACGCCCTGCTGGAAGCCAAAGAGCTCCCCTCAGGGTTGGCTTTGCTCAGGGTCCGGCTGCTCCCCCGCGGGCTGCCCACCCAACCCTGCGAGGCTGCAGACAGTCATCTGAAAGCAACACCCCCCCCCCCCAGGCCTGAGCTCGCCCCCAGAAACATTATCATCCTCCTCCTCATCCCTGAGACCCAGCAAGGAGGACACCTCCTCCAGGAAGCCTTCCCCAATCAGTCCCCACGCCCTGTGGGCCCTCTCCAGGTGATTGGGAATGGCACATTCCCTTCTCAGCCAGCCCACGGAGGGGGAGGGGGTTCTGATCCACCTCTGTGGACTGTCTTCCCATTGTTCATCTATTTACTTGAGCAGGCCCAGTAACATCTCCACTGTGCGACTTGTTACTGTGTTTGTGCTGGTGAGATACTCTCGGTAGCTTGCTGGGCTCTCCGAGAGGGGTGGAGGAATCGAACCTGGGTTGGCCAGGTCAGTCACATGCAAGGCAAACGCCCTACCCTCTGTGCTATCGCTCCAACCCATCTCTGTGGACAGGGCACAAGATTGCTGGCCAAAGCCTGCTGCAGACAGGACCACATCTACAGGGGCAGGAAGGGAAGGGTGCTTCCCACTACTGCCACCAGGGGGAGCCCGTTCCAGGGCTGAGCATCTTAGTTATTTATTATTATTGAGTCATCATGAGATACAAAGTTGTCCATGATTGGGTTTCAGTCATACAATGTTTCAACATGCATCCCTTTAGTATACATTTGCCACCACCAATGTACCCAGTTTCCCTCCTGCCACCCCCACCTGCCTCTATGGCAAGCTTTTCTCTCTCTCTCTCTCTCTCTCTCTCTCTCTCTCTCTCTCTCTCTCTCTCTCTCGCTCGCTCTCTCGCTCGCTCTCTCTCTCTCTCGCTCGCTCTCTCTCTTTCTCTCTCTCTCTTGCTCTCACAGTGATTTGCAATGCAGGTACTGATAGGCCATCATGCTTGTCCCTTTACTCTGTTTCAGCATCCCGTTCTTGTTCAAAGTGATCATTTCCTGCTATCACTGTCCTCCTAAGTGGTCCCTTCTCTGTCCTGACGGCCCAGGCAGCTTTAGCTGCTAGAGTGTGTCCCAGGGCAGAGTGGCCCAGATGCTCGCCCCAACCCCTCTGCTGAGGGGTGCCTGGCCCAGCCTGGGTCACCGAGCACCTACCTTCGGCCAGCCCAGCCCTGCGCTGTGTTCATTCTCACCCGCCGCCGTGAAGCCGGCCCCACAGCTGCCCGCTACCCACACAGGGACCCTGGAGCCCAGAAGTTAAAGGACCACGACTGCTCCAGAGGCCAGGACCCCTCCCTACCTGTCAGGACAGTGCCCCTAGCAGGGAAAGTACGAGCCAGCATTCTGAAATCAGTGCCCGGTGGGCTGACTGCTCCGTTACTGACTGGGGTGCTGGCCGTCACAGACAGGTATTGTCATCCTAGGCTGAGCTACCTTCTGGCCAGGGTGACCATCTGCCCGGAACCAGGCCAGCCTGGTGGAATGCAAAACAGGAGGTGGGAGTTGGGGGCAGAACCCAGGAGGACTTCCAGCAAGAGGCGGCTCAGGAAAGTACTGTTGGAGGGCAACATGAACAGGAGGAGGGTCCGAGGCCCCTTGAGCTCCAGACTGTGTCCTGCCGCATATAAACGCGCCCCAGTCTCTGGAACCTTCTCCATCCAACCAGGGGTCACGGTCGGGCTCACCGTCCCGGACCCAAGAGACCGAGGATATGAGAGCGTTTCCCGGACTCGGCCGTGTTTCCGCAGCTGGAATTTCTGAGCTCCGACTCTGCAGCCTCGGGGAACGTGTGGTTTCCTCTGAAATTGCCCAGAGTCCCCGCGGGACGGCAGAAGGGACAGGGACTGCCTCACCTTCCTCCTACCCGCCAAGCCTCAGACTGTACACCAAGGACCCCCAGAGCCTCCCACAGGGCCCCCAGTTTTGTAATGGCAGAGACGACTCAGAGAACTGAGCACTCCGCCCACATCCTCACTTTGGTTTTGTTTCTTCTGTTGTTCCTTTGGCTGGAGCAATAGCACAGCGGGTAGGGCGTTTGCTTTGCACGCAGCAGGCCCGGGTTCGATTTCTCCGCCACTCTCAGGGAGTCCGGCAAGCTACAGAGAGTATCTCGCCCACAAGGCAAAGCCTGGCAAGCTCCCCGTGATGTATTCAATATGCCAAACACAGTAACAAGTCTCACAATTTGTTGTGAGACATTACTGGTGCCCGCTCGAGCAAATCGATGAACAACGGGAGGACAGTGCAGTGCAGTTGTTCTTTGGGATTTGGGGGGTTTTGTTTTTTGGGGTTTTTATTTTGTACTTGTAATTCAAGATCCAGAAAGTTTTCGTGGCAGAACCCGCTGCGAAAGCTTCAGACTCAGCAAGCACTGCAGGCAGCCAGCCCTGCCTTAGAGACTCAAGGGGGCAGAGACCAGAGGGGGCTGGGCAGCTCAGTGGGTGGCACTCGGACCCTGAGGTCTGTCATGTCCGGCACTGAAGTCCCTTCCCACTGCTCCTGGCTACTTAGCCACCACTCCACGATGACAGTTCTGCCCCCTCCAGTGCTGGGACATGAGGGGAGGGGACGCCCGGCTTTCTTCAACTCCTCCACCTTCTTAGGGCCAGAGCCCGGAGCTGCATCCCTGGGTTCAAATCCCAGCTCCTACCCCCCACCCCCCCGCGTTGGCTGTGCATCCTTGGGTTCGTAATCGCCCTCTTCCCTCCCTGAGCCAAATCGGAACCTAAGTCATGGCATGTTCCTGAGGGAATGAAATGAACAATTTCTTATTTTTTTTTCTTTTTGGGTCACATCCGGTCATGCCCAAGGGTTACTCCTGGCTCTGCACTCAGGAATCACTCCTGGCAGTACTCAGGGGACCCTATGAGATGCTGGGAATCGAACCCGGGTCAGCCGCGTGGAAGGCAAACGCCCTACCTGCTGTACTATCGCTCTAGCCCCTGGGCTTGTGTTTCTTATCCAGGGGCCACATACCCCACAATTCTCAGGGGCCCCTTCCAGAGCTGTGGTACTCAGGGGTCACTCCTGGCAGTGCTCAGGAAGCACCGGGTGGTGCTGGGGATCGAACCTTGGGCTCCCACGTGTGAAACCTGTGCCCAGCCCCTCGAGACGCTTGGAGGGGTTCATTCCTGCCCCCTGGCCACGGGGGCCCATCCCCTCCTCTGTCCACTCACCGCCTCACTGCCCTTGGCCTGCAGAACAGTCAGGGGAAATTCTTGGAGCATGAAACTTCCTTTCCTTTCCGGGAGAGCCTGGGAAGCCCGAACCCCACCCAAAAAAAGTCCCTCCTTAGCCCCCCGCCCCCCGCCTCGGAGACCAGGGAGAGCCAGACGGGCCAAGGGCACTGCAGCCCAGCTCGGGCAGCAGGGTCTGGTCCTCACTGCCCCTTCCCAGGACCAGCTCGGCCCCTGGGTACCCCTGCATCCCGCAGCCCACACAGGGAGCAGGGGCACCCTGAAGGAGTCACACACCCCAGACCCCACCAACCCGCTCAGCCAGGGAGGTGGGAGTGGGGGGAAGGGTCAGCTCTGCAGGGCTGAGCCCGGAACCAGGACCCTGACCACACAAACGGAGCCTCACCCCTCATCGCTGGCGCTGCAGACCCAGGGAACTGGGGGGCCAGCACCCCCTGAGAACAAGCCCATAAGACCCCCACTTTGCACCACACAGTATAGGCAGCGTAGCGAGGGTCTTAGCATCTAGCACGAAAGTCACAGCAGGGTCCCAGCCCCCGGGGGTGCCTCAAAGCACCCCACCATGGCTGCTGTTGAGGGCCACTTCCCAGATGGGGAGACTGAGGCTGGGAGCGAGGGTGCTGGGTGCAGCCTCACCTCAAAGCACGTATGCATGCGCGCACACACACACACACACACACACACACAGAGACACATACATACCCACACACACACCTCCTCCCTCCCAGACCCCTCGGCCCTGGCAGAGACCCAGGTGGCGTGCTCCTTCGGGGGACCCAGAGAAGAGTGTTGGGTGCCCACGGCCCAGAGTGAAGCCCCTGCCAGCCCAGGAGAGAGGGGGCCCCCAGCTCCCCTTCCGGAGCAGCCGCCCTTCACCTCCGTCCTTCCGTAAACACATGGAGAACGGAACGGTCCGACCCAGCCAACACAATGGGGTGCGAGCAGATGGGGTCCCCAAGGGTCCGGGCAGAGCCCGACTGAGCTGAGCCCCCGCTGGCCCGCCCTGGCCGCTGAGCCTAGGAGAAGGGGTGCTGGCAGGGGACAGGGACCCTCCGGCTCACTTTCCCCCACCCCCACCCCCCCTGGCCACCAGGCGGGCTGTGGAGCTGGTCCCTGGGCCCTGCCAGAGCTCTGGAAATCCCATTTCCTCCGGGGAGGGGGGGGAGGGGGCAGGTGAGCTCTCCCGGGCGATTGTACCCGGTGGAGGGTGGGGGGAGGTTGGCCACACCCCCACCACTGCCCCTTGCTGGGACAGACTCCTTCCAGGTTCCCAAGCAAATCTAGTCCTCTGAGGGTCAATAGAACACGCTGTCCCCTCCCGCGTGGCCATGGGGGCGGACACCGGCTGAAATGCAGGTTCCCAGGCCGTGCAGGTGGGGCCTGAGATCCAGCTTCTCATTCTGCTCCTGATGTGGGCCCAGTCCAGAGGCACAGATGGCTGGGGGCTGGTGAACACCACCGCCCCTGCGACCTCTGAGCCCACCCTGAAGGGTGGGAGCCTGGAAGGAGCCCCCAGAGGCAGGGGAGGGGGCCCCAGGATGAGATGAGTCCGGGGTGGCGGGCTCTTAGGGAGACACATCCAGGGCTGGCCGGCACATTCTCGCTGTTAGGGGGGATGCACACGGCCTGATGCAGACTGTGTCCTGGAGGGGGACCCCTGAGTCAGTGCTGGTCAGAGTGGGACCCTTCACACGTGCCCTGGTGTGAGGGGGCAGGGGCAAGGAGGAGAGACCCCCTGCTCACATCAGCAGTGGCCTTCAGAGCCTGGAGGTGGCTCTGAGTAGGGGGAAAGAGGTGGTCTGGGGGAGCCCCCACTGGGCTCGGGGGGCTTGTGGGGGCGGCTGGGAGGGACCTGTCGGCGCTGCCCCAGCCACTTGCTCAAAGTTGGTCCCCTGGAGACATGGAGTGCCCAGAAATCCCGGAGAAGCCCCCTTGGGCATAGACACCCCCTTGCCCTGCTCGGTACCCCTGCCCACTCCTGGAGCGGTTTGCAAAGGCCACTAGGTCACCGTCCGGCCTGTCCCCTCTCCAAATGGAGCCTCAACCCTCGTCGCTGGAGCTGCAGATCCAGGGAACTGGGGGTCGGGGGGCCGGCAACCGCTGAGAACAAGCCCATAAGACCCCCACTTTGTACCACACAGTACAGGCAGCGTAGTGAGGGTCTTAGTATCTAGCATGGAAGTCACAGCAGGGTCCCAGGCCCCAGGGGTGTCTCAGAGCACCCCACCCTGGCTGCCATTCAAGTAGGTGTCTTTGGCCTACACAAGGGAGCCCCCTAGAGGGGAGGGGGCTCTGGGCCCGAGGGGCTGTGAGGAGCAGCGTGGTTTTGGGATCCAGGAGTGTCCCCCACCACTAAGACTGCCCCGAGGCAAGTGGGCTCCAAGGCCTCCAGCCCCGCCCAGGGCTGCGGCCCCACATTCTTGGGCCTGCCGGCACCCCCATCCCCTCCTCCCTGGCCTTCGGGGCCAGCCGAGTCCTGGGCGCACTGCCCACTGGGCCACTCTCTGCAGGCCCACATGGGCCCTGGCCACAGGCAGAGGAGCAGAGGGGCAGGGCTGGTGGGGGCTCCCAGGGTGGGGGGCAGGGGGAAAGCCCAGCTCGGAGAGGCCCCGGGGGAGCCCTGCCTTTCCCCCCATTGTTGCCAAGTCCTCTGGGCCAGTGTCCGGGTTGGGAGGAGCTGGACAGAGCCCCGTGTCCAGCCGGGCTGGCCAGCAGCAGGGCCTATGCGTGGGCCGGCCTCTCGCTGCACTCACCCCTCCTCCTGCCTGACAAACCCTGAGGAGGGTGGGAGAAAGCGGGACCCGGAGAGAGGGGGGTGGGGACAGGGCTTAGCCCAGGCCTCTGTCCATTCCCATTCCCGCCAGGTCCAGGCCTCGGCTCCTGGGCAGAGCCGAGGAACGCAGCCTCGGGCCCCGTTTGAATGGCAGGAAACTGATGGAGGGCCAGGGTGGTTCAGGACTAGAGGGCCTGAGTGGTAACACAGGGGGAGGGCGCTCACCTCGCACGGGGCTGGTCCTGGGTTCCATCCCCAGCATCCCATAGTGTCCCCCAAGCGTGTCACCCCAAAACAAAAGCAAATCAACTAACAAAGCCGCTGAGCCAGGACTCAAGCCCAAGATCTCTGAGCGGAGTTCTCAAACCTCAGACTCCCACACCCCTCGCTCCCTCACTGTCTCCCGTCTCTGCCAGCAGGGGATGTGCCAATGCCCTCAACAAAGGGACGTGGGCGGGTGCTAGAGGAATGCCCCCTGCCCTCCTCGGTCCTGGGAGAAGGCAAACCAAAAGCTCTGATAAGTCCTGCAGGGAGCAAGTTCCCGGGTCCCCAGACCCCAGTGGCCCCTTTTAATTTCATTGTTCTGTTCTGTCCTGGTATGGATTCTTGTTAGCAACATGGAAAGCCAATTCTGGGAGGTCCTGACCCCTGGCATTCCAGAGACCTGGCATGAGCCCTGCCCGCCCGCCCCCAGGAGCCAGACTGTGAGCCCCCCAGGTCACTTTGAGCCCCTGACAATGCCAGGCGTGGGTCTGTGCAGCCCTGTTCCACCTTCCAGCCCTTGGGGAGCAGGGGACCGTTCAGTCAGTGCTGTGCAGCCAGCAGGATGGGGTTGACCTCAGATGGTGCAGACCTGAGGGGGAGGTGTGTTGAGGCCAGAGTGACAAAGATCAAATGAGGTGTGAGAGCTCCCAGGCTCAGATCAGCCCTCCTGGAGGTGGAGGGGGGTGGGGGACGCAGAGTCTGGGGGCGGGGGTGGGACACGGTGCCTGAGGGGACAGAGTGGGGATGAAGAGTGTGAGGGGACCGTGGGGGGCACGTGTCCCTGGGCTGGAGTCCAGAACCCAGTCACATACATGCACACACATATACACACACACACACACACGTGCACATCGGTACACGCACACACATGCACACACATGCACAGGGCACATGCACAAGCTCACATACATGCACAATACACATACACACCTCACACTCCCGCACACATGCATACGTACTCACACACATAATTCTGATCACTCACACCCACACACTCACACACACTCTCACATGTGTGCACACACAAACACACGCTCTCACATACATCCACACACTCTCACACTCACACACATGCTCGCACAAACACGCACATGCTCTCATACACACGCACATGCTCTCACGTACTCTCACACATAGGCTCACACATGCACACACATGTTCTCATACACACGCACACGCTCTCACATACTCTCACACGCTCTCACGCTCACACATGCTCACACACACGCTCACACACGCATGCACACGCTCTCACAAGCACACACGCCTGCCGCGTCTGCCCCTACTACAAGGCCCAGTGTGTCAGTGACACAGACGTGTGCCAGCCCTGGGGCTCACGGCCTGGGCCTCAGGCAGCCCGTCCAGTCTGCACCTCGGTTTCCTCCCCCGCTCCAGTGGGAGCGAGCCGGCCCCTGCCCTACCTCCCGCGCCCACCTCCCAGCCCTCACCCAGGGCAAAGAGGCACAGAGGGTGCCCAGTGTCTCCTCCTGCAGACCCCGTGGGCTGTCCTGCTCAAGTTCCCCTCCCCCATTTGCGCTCCCACACTGCCCAAGGTCAGTCCACAACGCCCCTGTGGGCTCCCTGGGACCCACAGTCTCCCCCGGACCTGGCCCAGTGCCCGGCCTACAGAATCTTTGACTTCCCCAAGGTCAGTCCCAAGTCTCCCCCTGCACCTGGTCCTCCTCGGCCTTCAGCTCACGGCTCCCTGTCTCCCTGGCCAAGGAGGGGCACGGGACAACCCCAAGAGGTTGGGAGTCTGGACAGGACAGAGGCACCAGCCTGGGGGGCAGGGGGGGACGGGCATGTGTCTAGCTCAGCTCACCCCCCCCACCTCCATCCCTCCACTGACTCGCCCCAGGGCAGGGGGCCTGCTACCAACACACACACACACACACACACACACACACACACACACACACACACCAGGAGGCTCAGGGCCTCCCGCTCTTAGAAAACACCAGACTTGGCTCGGAGCTGTGCACACACGAATGCACCTCCCGATCCCTGCCACCCCGAGACAAAGGCCCTCGGGCCCATTCAGCAGGGGAAACTGAGACAAAGTCACGCGTGCGCCCCAAGACGGCTCCCGCACTCAGATCCCTGAGTCCACCCCTACGGGCCCGCCTGGCCACCAGGAAATGTTTCTCTTTAACACCATGGGCAGGAGGACGGTGAGCCCAGGGCTGAAGGGTACGTTCGCAGGCAGAGCCCCAGCGTCAAGCCCCAGCCCTGAGGCGTTCCCGGGCGGCACTGGGTGGGGTGTGCACCCCCGGCTAGACAATACTTGTGAAACAGTCTCCTTGGAAGGGGGGGGTCCTCCCCACCAGAACCTCCCAGTGCCATTGCCACAAGCCCTGAGCCCCTCAAGCATTCACCAAAGGCTCATCCTCCCTGGGGTGGGGGGGGCGGAGGGACCAGCTGGAGGGGCACTGAGCTGACGGGTGTGGGATTCAAGCCCCAAGGCCCCGAGCACATCATCATTCCGGAGGCTGCTGTGGGAATTAATCCACTTAGAGGGTCATCATGGACTCCCGGTGGGTCCCTGGTGCCCCCCCAGTCCCAGCTCGCCCCTCCCAAGGCTGTGACCTGGAGACCTGGCATTCAGGAGCTCATGGAGGAGTGCGGTGGAGAGAGCTGGAGAGAGCGGGAAGGGCAGGGGGGAGGTGTGGAGGGGAGAAGAATGAATGGAGGCTGGGGATGGCGGGAGAGAGAGGGGGGTGGGGACAGGGAGAGCAGGAGAGAGCGAGATGCCGCCGGGGGTCCCAAGGAGAGGGGCCCGGGTTCCGGAGTGAGGGGGAGGCAGTGGGGAATGGAGGGGGGGGAAAGGACCTACCTGAACCCCTCCTTGGTAGCCGGGGTGCAAGAACACAAAAGTCTGGGACTAGGGCAGAGCGCGCGTGGAAGGCTTCCTGGCTGGTTTGCAGGCTGCCGCGCCGAGTGGGGGTCCGTTCCCCCAGGCGAGGGGGGTCAGCGGGGCTCAGCCTTCAGCCTCGGGCCCCACACCCTCTCCAGGGCTTCCAACAAAGGGGGCAGCGGGAAGTATGGGATGTGAGCCCCGGAGAAGGGGCGCAGGTGACTGCAGCCCCTGGCAACCGTTACCCCAGCAACCGTTGGCAGCTGCCCGGGCTCCTACGTCAGGCTCCCCCCACCCCACCCCTCCCCGCTCTGCCCAGTGCAGGGAGGGGCCCCAGCTCGGCTCCTCAAGAGTCCGGACAGGCTGCGCGGGGCAGAGCCTCTCAGAAGGATTCCCGCCTCACCAGAGATCTCGCTTTTCAATTTCCCTTGAGATTCAGCCAGGAACGCTACAGGGCTGTCCTCAGTCGCTTCAAAGAACCTGCTGAGAACTACCCCTGGGGCCCCAAATGCCTGTTGCCAGCTGAAGTTGCGCCCGCTGTCTGCCAGGTTGGACCGTCCCCTCACTCGAGCCTGGGGGACACACCACCCTTTCCTGCACGCGCTAAGCAGCCCACGCCTCCAGGAAGCCCTCCCGGGGTGCCAGGACACATCAGGACTCTTCCTTCTGAGCTCTCCTGGCTTTCCTCGAGCTCCCCAGGAGCCAACTGCAGCTCAGATCCCCCATACTGTGACCCCAACTACAAATCTCCCAGGAGTGCCACCAGGCGGTACCCTGTTCTGTGGTGCTCGCCCGCTGAGCCCGTCTCACAGAGTGGAAATAGGCTCAGGGAAGCCCCATGACTTGCTCAAGGCTGTTCGGCTGCTCAGGGGGCGGAGGGTTCGCACTCCAAACCAGACGTCCTCAAAGGCACCAAGGCAGCCTGGCCAACCTGCCCCCACACGCACCCACTCTTAACTTGATCACCCCCAGGGCGGGGGAGCTCACCTCCCCGCAAGACGTAAGACGGCACATCGCTTTCACCTCGATCCCCCTTCGGAGCACCAAGGCAAGGGGGGGAAGCCCACAACGGGGGATCTGGGTGGCCTCTGTGTACCACAGGGGATACCGGTGGGGGGCAAGGGTGGCTTCCCCCAACCCCACGCCCTGTCTGGCGTTCAGCTCCAAACCAGCAATGGATGTGACTCGGGGAGTGGGGGGCAGAGTGCCCGGCGTCTCAGCCCAGCATCTCCGAGCCCATTCCCCGAACAAGTCGGGGACCCTCTGAGTGGCCACGGCCCCCAGATACAGGGGCAGTTTTGGAGGGGGGGGGTCTCTGCAGAGCCCTGGGAAAGGCAGCAGGCGCCCAGGGCCAGGGTCCCCTTCCCCCACGAGGGCCCAGAGCCAGGACCTGCTGGGGTCACGCTATTGTCTCCCGCCGCCCAAGCCGAGCCCCATTCAGGCACTATTTTTGGCCCCCTGGAGGAAGAGGAAAAGAAAGCAAAGAAAGGAGTTGCTGTTCTGTGTGAAACCTTGGCCAGAAAGCGCCAGGGGGGCCAGAAAGGAGCCTCTGTGGCAGCCCAACAGCCGGGCCTGGCACGGAGGGGCGCCCTGGCCTTTCCCACACATCTGGGGACCCTCTCCACAGCCACGCACAGAGAAACAGAGTCCCCAAGCACTTGCCGGCATGAGAAAGTCTCCCAGCTGCCCCGGGAGCTCCTGACTGTCCGCCTCAGGCAGGGCCCCCTGCAGCCCACCTGCCCCGCCCCCCCCCCCCCCCAGGGATCTCATTTCCCCCATGGGCCACCCTGTCCTGGTCACCTTCCCTCTCAGCCCGGGCCGGCTCGGGTCCAAACAACACTCTGATCCGCTCACTGGCCCTGCCTTGGTCCGGGAGCCGCAGAGTCTCAGCACGGGGCCAGCCGCCCCCAGTTCCCACCACCACGGCCCCCCAGCTATTCTGGGACGACGTGGGAGAGAGGGAGTTGCACCTGGACAGCGACCCTTCCTCCCCGCAGGCTGTCCCCAACCACCCCACACCCCCCATCCTAGGACCATCTCCCCCAACTGCGGCTTCCTCACCAAATGCCATCTGGGCCAGGGGCTCCCTTGGTGCCATCCAGTGGCTCAGGGGCACACATACTCCCCACCCCCACCCCCGCCCCCGTCAGATACTTGGCCAGAGACGGGTCTTCAAGACAGGGCTCTGCCCCAGAGCAGGGGCAGGAGCTGAGCTGACATAGCCAGAAAGTGCTTCTGGGCTCAGGGCCAGCAGACCCCGGACTCAGACCCTGGACTCTCCCATCGTCAGGAAGGCCAAGTTCCCGGCTCCTTGTGGGCATGTCCCAGGGTTGGAGGCCGTGGTGGAAGGGAGAATGTGCCAATGAACTGGGGCCGGGTTTTTACGGTGCCAAACATCAGACATGCCCCCGAGGGTGCCCTGGGTGCCCTGAAGTGGGGTGCGGAGGGGAAGGGGCTCTGTCTGTGGCCAGGCTGGGTGTCAGGGACAAGCGGCAGGCGTGGGGTGGGGGCAAACAGTGCGACAGTCTAGGGGGCAGTGGACGGGGGTGCCGGGCCCCACGTTCTGTTAAAGCGGGGACACGGGTCTGGGCAGTGGCACTGAGCCGGGATCTAGGGATCCCCGCAGGTCCCACGGATTTGAGGGACCACTCTTGGCCGTGACGAGTTGGGGGGCAGCGCCCAGCTCTGCAGAGACCAGTCGGGGGGCAAGTGGGTGTCCTTGACGTGCACTGCAGCTCAGACTGACCAGAAGACCCCACCACAAGGGCATGTCCGCAGTGACCTCGGAGGGCCAGCGACGGCCAGGAGCCCCCTGTGGAGCCCTCCAGGAGGCTGGGAGGGGCGGCCCAGCACAGCCTAGACAGAGCCGGGGTCACAGGCTCAGACTGGGGAGTGACTGTGCAGGTATGGGGGCCCCCGCCTCCTACAGGCTCAGAGATGAGGCTTAGAAATAGAAGCCCCAGGCTCCAGGTCACTCGCACCAAATCCCAGACGCATCAGGGAATAGGTGGGGAAACTGAGGCAGGGAGTCACAACCTAGCGCCCCCCGCCGAGCCTGCCCCAGAGGCCTAGGGCGGGCAACTGGAGACCCAGGGCTGGGAGGAGGCATCTGAGAGGCTGCAGAGAAGCTTCTGGGCTCTCTCAGCCACTCCTGCTGCCGTCCGGTTAAGTGGCCCTGTGCCCAGGGACGCCGCGGAGCCATTAACTGTGGGACGGCGGCTTCCAGGGGCCCCAGCTGGCAGGCGCCTGCCCGGCTGCGCCTCTAATGCACAAGCTGCCCCGGGCCCCGGTGCCAGCGTGGCCGGCTTTTATCTCTGCCTGCCTGGACCTGCCAGGCACGACACAGCCTGACCCCGAGCCCTCACCAGCCAGCGGCCCCACACTAGCCCCACAGGGCTCCCCACCCGGACCCCGGTCAGAGGGAGCGGAGGGCCTGTGGGCAGCTGTCCCGGGCCGGGGGCAGGAAGAGATGCCCCCCCAGTTACTCTGAGTCAGTGCTCAGGCTCAGCCCCTGGCACTGGATGAAGCCGCAGAGTCTGGGTGAGGCTGTCCTGGCTGCTCTTCACAGCACCCCCGACACTGACACCACTGCCCCCCCATCTCCACAGGGGAAACTGAGGCAAAGACCAGCACCCACAGACAGCGAGGTGTGAAGCCAGCACAGTCCTGGGCGAGTGGCCCTGTCGTCCTGGTGGGTCCTGGTCCCCAAGGGGGATGTGGGCAGGGTCGGGACCAGGTTCCAGACAAGGGCTCACAGCCCAGTGCCCAAAACAGAGCCTGGACTGGACAGGGACCCTCACACTGAGAGCTCGGGTGCCCCCGGGCCAGGAGAGCCGATCCGTGCCGGACAGAGGCCAGGCTGGGCTCACCCCAGGGTCGTCATCTCTAACCGGACCCCAGGGACCAAGCTGGGCCCAGATCTCAGGCCTCCGGGCCAGCCAGGTTCCCCGGGACCCCGAGACTGAGTGATTTGGGCGTCTAAGCCCCACTGAGCCAGAACCCTGCAGCAGGTAGGGCTCAGAGGAACTGGGTTACCCTCTCCACCTCTCTCTAGTCCCCAGCTCAGCAGCCTGGAACCTTCTCCCAGGCTGGAACCTATGGGGACTCCCCTAGGGTGCAGGGAACTCCCCAGGAGGGGGCCTGGGGAGTGGACGAGAGAGGGCAGGCCTGGGGGCCCCCTCAAGACCCCCACACCTAACGGGCCCCTTCGGGCCAGCCTCGCCCCGCCCCTGCCATCTGCCTGGTGCCTGGGGTCTGGTGCCCCTGGGGCTGGGTTTGCCCACGGGATGCCCCATCTGCTGGGAGTCAGGGAGGGTCCCTGGGCCGACTGGGGCAGGCTCTAATGGGGGGGTTGGGCCTGGAAGGGGCAGCAACCCCACCCCACAGCTCTGCTGAGGGGAGAGTGAGTGAGGGGCGGGCCTAGCTCATGGCTCCCCAGACCCCATCTGTCCCCACCACCCTAGCCAGCCCCATGCAGGAACCTGGAGCCCTGGACCAAAGCCTCCCTGCTCCTCCCTCCTCCCCCCGCCATCCAGGTACTCCCACCCACCCCATCTGTCAGGTTGCTTGGCCCCCTCCAGCCCCAGAGGAGCAATGGGACCCTCCCGGGGCCCCGGGACAGTCTGTGTGGGACCCTTCCCGGGTGCCCCCTTCCCAAGCTCACCAGCGCAGGACCTCCCAGGCACTTCCCTGGCCAGCAACACCCACCGGCACCAGGCTGTAGGCATCAGAGCCCTCCTCTCTGCCCTGCCCTCCCCTCCCCTCCCCTCTGCTCCCCAACCCTCCTCTCCTCGCCCCTCCAGCCTAAATGTAGCAGAGCCTGGGGGCGCCCCGGGTGAGAGGGTCCCCGACTTCTAGTGGGGTTCCTCACTGCTCAGCCTCCTTCCTGTCTCCTCACAGAGGGGGTGTCCCCTGGGACCGGCCCTGCCCAACCCCTCGCCGAGCGTGGAAGAAACAACTGAAACGGGGGGCAGTGCGGGGACCCCGACAGAACGGGGCACAGTGGGTCAGTGTCTCCCGTGCCCCCAGTCCTGCCCTGACGGCCGGAGGA